CACCATCACACGACCACTGCCATCTACCCCTCCCCCATCCTCATCACCACCCCAAACCCTACCCCCATGGCCCCATGTCTGGCCTACTCCATCCCCCGAACTACCCCAGCCACCCTCCCCTGCTCCGATCTAGCCTGGATCAGCCCAACCACTATTTCCACCACTCAACCCCCAACCTCCACCGCCAAGCCATCACACTAGAAGTGTAGACGCCGCCCCTATAGCCAAACTCAAATCGCAAGACATTGTCGATGGTGGTAATATATGTGACAGTCATCATCAAACCCTAACCCCATATCACTGTAGCCGTCGTCACAGATTTAATGATCGTTGCCACTGATCCCGGTCATAGTAAGCTAAAGAAGAAGGGTACAAACCAGGAGGGGATGGCCATAATGGGTTGGCTGCGACGAAGACAATGGTGGCGGCGTGCGTTGGCAGCGACGAAGGCAACACCGACATGGGTTTTCTGCGATGAGATGGCGTGTGTTGTCTGCGACGAAGGTATCGGCGGCGGCATGCGTTGGCTGCGATGAAGTCGGCGACTTAGCACCGATCGTCTCCTTTACTCCATCGTTGATCGCTAGTAGATGCACTAGTAAAGGAGATCTCCATCGTAGTTGCAGTCGCCGAGACGGAGACGTGAGGGGGTGGGGGCTGAATCGTAAATAATAATTTTGGAAAAACAAAAAAAAATCATATCCTTTCTATTAAAGGTGTATACTTAATACTTATGTCATTCTTTCCCATGAAAAAGTCAAAAGAAAAAATTTGACTTTATTAAAAATTATAAAGTCAAATTAAGAATTTTATTTGAGACAAGAGGGAGAATTTTATTTAATCGTCTCAAAAGACTATCATTTTCATTTAAAATAGTAAATATGTAGTTAAAATAGATTTTCTTTCTTTTGTACAAATTTAACTACACATATTTTACTTCAGTGCTTAACGCGCTAGTCAAACTTGACCCAAATTTATGGGACGGGGGAGTATATAATAAGGATGACATCCCTTCCCTTATGACCCAACACCGATCAAACAATTCATCAAAATGATGTAAATTTGACTTTAATCACAAAAATTCACAAATAGTGATCGGAGTTGTGACTCAAGCACTTACAGGTGCACCATACATTTTTATATACTAATATATCATTGCACTTGGCAGATTTCGAACTCGAAAATTGACACCTATCTACCAGCTCAACTACACGCATGGAGTATGTATTCCCGAAAAAAAAAAGTCTATATACACTTTATTGTTGTACACACTTCTCAAAAATAAAAAGAGGTGTTCAAAGACATGTTTACAATGATAAATGTTTAGGACACGAATTGTTCCAATACAAAATAATACTACCTCCGTCCCGGTGAACTTTGACAAGTGCAAATTAGGTGAGAAATAAGAATAGTAAAAACTGTGTGGTTGAAATTTGTGTGGAAGAGAAAGAAATGTGCAGAACCACAAATTAATTGCTTTAATAGGTAAGTGATAAAGTGTTTTCGGAAAAATAAAAAAGGAAAGTTGACAAATTATTCAACAAGGAAGTCTCAGAAAACCATGATCATGCGCAAAAACCAAAACTGCAACTGTGATCAGCTAACGACCAAAACAACCGTCAAATATTACGAGAGCAGTACTCCGTATTTACTGCTCCGTATTTATTATCTCCGTCCCACTCAACTTTGCCAAGTTGATGTTAGGTGAGAAATTAGAATAGTAAAATGTGTGTGGTTGATGTTTGTGCAGAGGAGAGAGAGAAATAAACAGAGCCACTAAAACATTGTTTTAAAAGGAAAGTGACAAAGTTTTTTGGGACAAACAAAAAAGGAAAGTTGGCAAAGTCCAGTGGGACGGAGGGAGTATGAGTTACAGAAATGGAGGTGTGCAAATTTTATTTTAGGCAAAAAAGCATAAAACAGGTTTTTACTACAAAATTGAAATTAAAAATTGAACCGTTTATTATAAAACGAATTTAACGCCCCCTTCACCTTTGTTAGGGGTGGTTCGGTACGGTATACCGAATATTTTCTCTCATACCTTTACCGTACCGAAACTTTCGGTATACAAAATTTATATACCGTTACCTTACCAAAGTTTCAGTATACCGCATTTCGGTATACCGAAGTTTCGGTTCGGTAACGGTACAGTATCGGTAAATTACTATGCATGTCCCCCAATTCAAAAAATTATCATAGACTAACAAAATATAGTAACTCGCAGTACTAAAGACATATTTAATCCATTATTACAATGTTACAAAATACAATTAATAATCTATTGATGTCATATTCAATATTGAACAATTATTATTATTAGTATATTTAAGCAGTTCAACATATTTAAATAACTTGAGCAATATAGATATAATTAAATGAATAGTGATCACTAACAAAAATAAATAAAATTATTCAAACAACATGAATATAAAATCATTTGTCCATAATATGATATTGTGTGTTTAGTCTTTTTTATAATTTTAAATAAAATATTTGAATAAGACTTTCGGACAAACTTATGTGTCTCGACTTGCGGAATCTCTATGTCGATACACTCGTCACATAAGTGTATCCCTCTTCACTCGTCAGCTACTTACCGACTCAGCCATCGCGACTCGCAAGCTTATGGAACAAGATGGACTGGTCCAGATATTAGTACATTACTCATTGGTCATTAGGGTTTGTTTGTTTGAATGTTACGTAGTAGAAGCCTCGAAGGTTATAGTGCGTTTGGGAAATCAGGACTTTATTTTTGTATTTTAGTATTTGTAACCAACATAAGTATTAATTTTGGGCTTCAAACTTGTAATGGATTTTTACAATATTTTAGAATTTATAGTAATCGGTGGGTGGGAGTCGGTACGGTATTATACCGGTATACCGCGGTATTTGAAAACATTTACCGTTACCATACCGAAATATATCGATACGGTATCATACCGTACCGAAAATGACGGTATACCAATATTCTGGTATTTTCTGGTATTTTTCGGTACGGTAAGTGCGGTATACCGATTTTCCGGTATTCTTGTCCACCCCTAACCTTTGTTATCCATCCACGTACATAGTTATTGGGTAATATATTTAAGAGATAATTACCGTAAGTGTTATTTAATTGAATACTCGCTCTGTATAAAGAAAGATTCTTCTTCTATAAAAAATACTTCCTTCAGTCTCTTAAAACTTTATCATCTTTTCTTTTTGGGACGTCCTAAAAAACTTTGTCACTTTCTCTTTTAATCAATTATTTTGTGGTTTCTGTTATTTCTCTCTCCCTGCATAAACCTCAACCACATAATTTTTACTTTATTATTCTTCCATAATTTTTACTTTATTATTCTTCCCGTAGAGTTTGAAGGGAGGGAGTAGTACTTCTTTTTATTCTTTCATGAACAATAATACAAAACTGTATTTTTCCTTTGAGAGCTTCCCATCAGCTTCCCTCTAGAGCTCACGATTTGGCGCCGGCTGTCATGGAGTCGCCGGAGTGTGTCGGAACGACGCTAACTAGCGTGGAAAATGTTCAGATTCGTGATGCTGTTGATGCCAACCGGGGGCTGTATAGGAGACGGAGTTCGACCGCGGCTGCGGAGAGTGAAGTCAACGGCACGGAGGAGGAGGACAGGGACGAGATCAAGCGCGGCGGCCGCGGGAGATTTAAATCTCCGAGTGAGCACAGTAAATCCGGGGGAGAGCCAGAAGATGAAAATATAAACTAACGGAGAGAGGAATGATCGTGAATTTGCAAATGGCGGTGCGCGTAGAGGTGCTGCTGACGACAACGTGACGTTTGAATTTGCATACAGGCCGTCCTCCCCGGCTCACCGTCGAATCAAGGAGAGTCCCCTCAGCTCCGACGCCATATTTAAACAGGTCTGAGTTATTCATCTTTCTGTTAACCATAGTCTTCACTCTTCAGTATACCTTTTCTGAAAAAGGATCTTCAGTAAACTTTATGAAAATCTTTATATCATCATTTTGAAGAAGTGGTGCGGTTTTCAACTTTTTAGGCTACATATAGTCATATAGATAGGAAAGGATCATGGTTGCAATGCATCTTGAGAAGCCCTGCTTGAACACCCACAATTAAAAAAAACATTGAATACTTCAAAACTAAGCACTAAATCCGCCGCTGCTTGCCTACAGTAGCATCTTTATTCACTTTTTCTATTTCCGTGTTAATTGAATAATCTGTTTTCTGACATTTTCCATTTACCTTCAATTACCTATGAGTAATTTGTAATTGTTTTGTTTAACCTTTTTAGATAATGAGTTTTGGTAGGGAGTATTGTTATTGGTGATTTTAATTGATTGTTTGCATCTTATATTAGAGCCATGCAGGCCTCTTCAATCTTTGCATAGTGGTGCTTGTAGCTGTTAATAGCAGGTTGATCATTGAGAATTTAATGAAGGTTTGCCTCTTTACATTCCTATTTTTTCTGGTTGAGAGCATGCCTTGTTTGTCAAGAAGCTTTTTGCATCCCCTTTGGTATCTGCCTTGTTTCACTTTGATATCAAAGTAACCACTTCTGCTCTATCACAGTAAAATAGGATATAGAAACTGGGGCTGTTTTAGATACTTGAATGGTAGATCAGTGATGTCAATAGCGGACTATAGCGGCACTATAGCGGGATAGCGGAGCGGGGGGTAGGCGCTATGAGATTGCCTATAGTGGAGCGGTTGGCAATAGCGGCTGTAGCGGACGCTATAGCGGGAAGATTAGCAGCTGTAGAGTAGTTATAGCGGTTGGTAATTTAGTAAGTATAAATTTCATGACGTTTGAGTAACATATTTGTGATTTATCATTTCTTGGAATTAATATGTGCATGACATGTATTTGTTTGCATACATATATTATGTGTTTTGCAAACATATTGTCTAAATAGCGGTCATCCCGATATCCGCTATACCGCTATAGCGTTTTCGGGGTTGGCCGCTCCGCTCCACTATCCGGGATTGACAACACTGTGGTAGATGACAAACTTATGACTTCTATTGCAGTATGGGCTATTAATTAGTGCTGTATTTTGGTTTAGTTCAAAATCCCTAATGGATTGGCCAGTTCTAATGTGCTGGTATGATCCTCAAACCTTCTATTTTGAATTTCAGTGGTCATTCTGTTGAAGAAAACAAACAAAAATAAACAAAACTAAAATGTGCATATTCGTTTTTTATTTACAGCCTTAGCCTCCCAGTTTTCCCTATTGCTGCCTTCCTTGTTGAGAAACTGGTCCAGATGAAGCGTATAACTGATCCAGTATGTTGTTCAGTAATTGATCATTGTTTTACCTGTTGGAACCATTACACTGTTGGAAATAAGTGAAGGAATATTTGGGAAATTGAGAGGCTAAATTAGAAATATTATGGAAGAGATATTTGAAAAAAGGGGAAGAATTCTTTTTATTAGAACAACTCAATTTACTTGATTTGCTTGATACAAAGTGGGGGTAGGAGCCCTCTATTTATACTAACACAATGATATCTAGAATCTTCTACAATTAATACATTCTACACAATTCTACTCAATTAATTATAGGAAAATTCTAGACCACATCTTCTAGAGAAACTCTAGAATTTATTCCTTCTACATTTTTCTATCACTTGGGCCTTCCCAACAACAACTAAAACTAAATATTAATTAGGCCCAAAAACAAGTTTAATTTTCAACATCCCCCTTAAACTTGTTTTAACTTCGAGCATGGTCCTCAACCTTCGAAAATCTTCGTGCTTGAGCGGCTTCGTGAAAATGTCAGCGATTTGATCATGAGACCTTACATACCTTACTTCAACCTCTTTTCTTTCAATGCATTCTCGAATGTAGTGATAGCGGGTATCAATGTGCTTGCTACGATCATAGAATACCGGATTCTTTCCCAATGCTATTGCCGACTTATTATCCACATATATCTCCGTAGCTTCCTTTTGTGACATGCCTATTTCCTTGAATAGATTTCGAAGCCATATAGCATGACAAACACATGAATTGGCGGCAACATATTCAGCTTCACATGTGGAGAGGGTCACAATGGGTTGCTTCTTTGAACTCCAAGTAAAAGCCGTATTACCCAAAAGAAAGACAAATCCGGTGGTACTCTTGCGATCATCAACGTCTCCGGCCCAATCACTATCACTATACCCAACAAGCTTGAAATCTTTACAAGAATTGTAAAACAAGCCAAAGTTAAGAGTACCTTTGATGTAGCGAAGAATTCTCTTGGCGGCCTTCCAATGAGAGGTTCTTGGATCTTCCATATACCGGCAAATGAGACCAACTCCGTACAAAATGTCGGGCCTTGTACAAGTCAAGTATCGTAAGCTCCCAACTAAGCTCTTGAACATTGTGGGCTCCACTTTTTCTTCATCACCAAACTTGGATAATTTTACACCACAATCCACCGGGGTATTGATTGGATTACAATCATCCATTTTAAACTTTTCAAGGATTTTCTTTGCATATCCTTCTTGACCGATAAAAATTCCATTTTCCCTTTGTTTCACCTCAATTCCCAAATAATAAGACATTAAGCCCATATCGGTCATTTCAAATTCTTGACTCATTGCCTTTTTGAAATTCTCAAATAAATTGGGATTATTTCCCGTGAATATTAGATCATCAACATAAAGGCAAACAATCAAGATATCTCCATTGCCCTCCTTTTTGACATAAAGAGCATGTTCATGGGGACATTTTATGAAATTATTTGCTTGGAAATACTTATCAATTCTAGTATTCCAAGCTCTTGGGGCTTGCTTCAAACCATAAAGTGCCTTTTTCAACTTTAGAACTTTATCTTCATGCCCTTTTATTTTATATCCCGGTGGTTGTTCTAAATAAACTTCTTCTTCTAACTTTCCATTTAAAAATGCGGACTTCACATCCATTTGAAAAATTTTCCATTTATTTTGAGCCACCAAAGAAATTAAAAATCTTATTGTTTCGAAGCGGGCAACGGGAGCAAATACCTCTTCATAGTCGATACCGACTCTTTGGTTGTACCCTTTTGCAACCAACCTTGCTTTGTACCTTTCAACTTCTCCTATGGCATTCTTCTTTTCTTTAAACACCCATTTTGCACCAATTGCTTTGTGTCCTTTGGGTAAAGTGGCCAATTCCCACGTATCATTTTTTATGATGGCCTTCATTTCTTCATCCATGGCTTCCCTCCAATTCTTGTCGTTAGTCGCTTCTTCAAAATCTATTGGTTCACAATCGGCAAGAAGACAAAATAATGTTAGATCATTTATATTTTCGGTTACCTCATATAGCTCTTGTATGCTCCTTAAGCGAGGCGGCCTTTCATTTGAGTTGTCTTCACTTGTGGATCCTTCTTGCTCGGGTGATGGTGGAGTTGGACTCGTGGGCTGTTCATTGGCTAGCTCTTGCTCATCTTCTTCTTCATTGTAGTAAGGCAAGAAATTGTAGTCTTCTTCCTTTTGAGTCCAATCCCAAGTGTTCTCTTCATCAAACTCAACATCGCGGCTAACCACAATTTTTCCATTGCTTGGATTGTATAACTTGTACCCCTTTGCTCTTGCATCGTATCCAATAAAGATAAACTTCTCACTTTTGTCATCCAATTTGCTTCTTTTTTGATCCGGCACATGAGCGTAAGCAATACTCCCAAAAACTTTCAAGTGGGCAATTCCGGGCTTTCTTCCACTCCATGCTTCTTCGGGGGTTTTGTTCCAAACACTTCTAGAAGGAGATCGGTTTGACAAATAAACCGCACAATCCACAGTTTCGACCCAAAATTCCCTTGGAACATTTTTGCTTTTAAGCATGCTTCGAACCATATTAAGAAGGGATCGATTTTTCCTTTCAACAACTCCATTTTGTTGTGGAGTATATGGAGCCGTTAAGGGGCGATGAATACCATTTTCTTCACAAAAATTTTCAAAGTCTTTTGAAGTGAATTCCCCCCCACGATCGGATCTCATGGATTTTATTTTAAACCCGCTTTCATTTTCAACATGAGCTTTAAATTTCTTGAAGGCCCCAAAAACGTCGGATTTATGTTTTAGAAAATAAACCCAAGTTTTCCGACTAAAATCATCAATGAAAAGAGCAAAATAATTACTATTTCCGAGAGAGCTTGGTTTAATTGGCCCACATATATCCGTGTGTACAAGCTCTAATGGTTGTTTTGCTCTTGTAGATGCTTGCTTTGGAAAACTTTTTCTTGGTTGCTTTCCAAACAAACATCCTTCACACAATTGATTAGCTTCATTGATTTTGGGCAAACCTTTCACCATACCTTTATCACTCAACAATTTTAAACCTCCAAAATTAAGATGCCCAAACCTCAAGTGCCAAATCCAAGATGAATTTTTAAAACATGCTTTCAAACATTTTGGACCCCCATTATCAATGTTTAATGAAAACATTCTATTTCTTGACATTGGTACTTTAGCGACCAAACCCCCATTTTTATCTCTCATCAAAAGGGTGTGATCTTTCATATGAATGTCATATCCCTTTTCTAAAAGTTGCCCCAAACTTAAAATGTTTGATTTCATTTTGGGCACATAGTAGACGTTAGAGATGAAATCATTTTTTCCATTTTTTAACCGGATTAAAATTTTCCCCTTTCCTTTTACCGGGATTTTTGATTCATCTCCAAAGTAGATATTTCCGCTTACCGATTCATCAAGCTCGACAAACATATCTTTCTTCCCGCACATGTGGTTGCTTGCTCCCGTATCTAAGTACCATGTCGTTTTTGTGTCACTTTCTCCTCCTTTATGGGCCATCAACAATGTTGAATTTTCTTCTTCTTCTTTGGCAAGATTTGTTCGCTCCTCAACTTTTTTTTTGCCAATCTACATTCGGAGGCAAAGTGACCAAATTTTTGACAATTATAACATTGAACTTGATACTTATCATACCTTGGTCTTGAAAAACTCCCTCTTCCACGGCCTCTTGATTGATAGAAATGTGGACTTTTGTCTTCTTTGTTGAAAGTCTTATAACCTCCTCTTCCATAGCCTTGGCTTCGACCGCGCCCTCTTGAACTTTGACTTTTTCCCTCATGGAAAATCTCTTTATTTTTTTAAGGTGAGCTTGGTTTGAAGGGCTTGCTCCAATGGTTCTTGCTTTATTCTCTTCTTGAGTTTTTCTTCATGAGCTTGAAGAGATCCCAAGAGATTATCAACCGTCATTGTTTCTAGATCTTTAGATTCTTCTATTGCCACAACTATGTAATCGAATTTTGAATCTAAAGATCGTAGAATTTTTTCAACCACACGGTTGTCTTTGATTTCTTCTCCATATCTTCTTAGTTGATTCACAACGGTTTGAACTCTTGAGAAATAGTCGTCAATAGATTCCGAAGAGTTCATGTTTAAAGATTCAAACTCACCTCGAAGACTTTGAAGTTTTACTTTCTTCACCTTATCTACTCCTTTGAATGAATTCTCTAATATCTCCCAAGCTTCTTTGCTTGTAGTTGCACATGCCACCTTTGCGAACATGACTTCATCCAAAGCTTGATGGATGATAGATAGCGCCTTTTGATCTTTCTTCTTAGTACTCCTCGAGGCATTCTTTTGATTTTGATTTAAGGCGTTGATGTCCTCGGGTTCCTCGAAGCCTTCCTCTACCATGTCCCACACATCTTCCGAACCAAGTATTGCCTTCATGCGAATGCTCCAATTATCATAATTCTCCTTTTTTAATGGAGGAACTTGAAGAGAACCGGCCATTTTAGGGTGATGACCGAACGGCTCTGATACCACTGTTGGAAATAAGTGAAGGAATATTTGGGAAATTGGGAGGCTAAATTAGAAATATTATGGAAGAGATATTTGAACAAAGGGGAAGAACTCTTTTTATTAGAACAACTCAATTTGCTTGATTTGCTTGATACAAAGTGGGGGTAGGAGACCTCTATTTATACTAGCACAATGATATCTAGAATCTTCTACAATTAATACATTCTACACAATTCTACTCAATTAATTATAGGAAAATTCTAGACCACATCTTCTAGAGAAACTCTAGAATTTATTCCTTCTATATTTTTCTATCACTTGGACCTTCCCAACAACAACTAAAACTAAATATTAATTAGACCCACAAACAAGTTTAATTTTCAACATACACATTTTAGAAGTGGAACTGCTTCATAGATTCGATAGCATCATTGTAGAAGTCAGAAACCTTGTGTACTTTTTTGTTTCCATGCTCTAACATTGATGTAATTTTTCAGGTTGCAGTTACTTTACACATAATTATAACGACAACTGCCATATTATATCCAGTTCTTGTTATTCTAGGGTGGGTTTTCTACTTCTCAGCATTTGTTCCTTGCCTTGTTTTAAGACAGAGTTTCATCTCACTTATTCTTTATCTTAGTTTCTATAAACATGGGTCGTTATTCCACTTATTCAGCTACCAGTGGTGATGCTCCAGTGCAAAATTTCCTATGTCATCAGGGTGACCCACTAACTGCTAGTAGAAGAAGCCATGCATTTTTGTTTTGTACTTCCAAGTAGGTCCCCGGGAAGGCAATTTGACCTTGTTTCAGGACATAACTTTATCCCACTTGATGCTTTACCTCAGTTTCTATTGAATATGAACATCATTCAGCTACCAGTTATGATGCTCTTGTGCAAAATCCCTATGATTAGGGTGACCCACTAACTGGTAGTTGAAGAAGCCTTGTTTAGTTCTGTATTTAGAAATGGGTTCCTGGAAAGTAATGTCTTTTCGTTTTCTCTCATGAGTGGGCTAAACCCTTGCTTCAGAGAAAAATATACTAAAACAAACCTCTCCCCCCTCCTTCCCACTATCTTTGTCCCATCATCATCATCATTACCCTAGAGCCGCAAAGGCTCCCACCTACGATAGGGTAAGGGGGTGGGATGTACGCAGTCTTACCCCTGTACTCACAGAGAGACTTTTCCAGATGACTCATAGTGAAAATTGCGTCGAAAATTGCATAGACATTTTGCTTCATAACAAAGAAGCGCAGATAGTTTAGTCGGCCATTTTGCTTTATTCCATCATATTCCCAAGCCAAAAAATAATGAGTTTTCCCACTGAATTTGTCCCATCTTACTTTTTTCGTCCTTCACAGCAAGTTTGTCACTTATTTAGTACTATTTTCTTTGAATCAAACTCATTCATACTTTATAAATTCAATATTACCCACATAATTCCACTTTCCTTAGTATACATGCCACTTTTTATGCCCCAAAGGATTTACTATAACAGGGAGCGGTTCCGGTAAGAACGGACTCCCAGGAGAGAAATGAGAACGAATCTGGACTGTTGGATTGTATTATGTGGAATTGCATTGTGCGTTTGGTGAAACTGAAATGTGCATCAGACGATATTGAAATTTGCAGAATAAATCTTTAAACCCAAGTGTGCATTAGGTGAAACTGAAATGTGCGGAATAAAAGGTACAAAAATAACATCACATCGTACATTTTATTCTGCACATTTCAGTTTCACCTATTGCACATTTCAATTTCACCTAATGCATAATTCAGCTTCACATAATGTAACTGTATCGTACCATTTGTGTTGCGCATTTCAATTTCACCTAATGCACATTATGGTTTCATCTGATGCACATTGAATTTCACTTAAAACAAATCTAACGGTCGAGATTCATTCTCATTTCTCTCCTAAGATCATGTTCTTATTTGAACAAAAACCTACTATAACATACCTATAGTTTGTGAGTTGCTTTTGAAATTGTACAGGTGTGATTCTGCTTTTCCATCAGGTGTCACCTTGATGCTTTTTGCTTGCATTGTATGGTTAAAACTTGTTTCTTTTGCCCATTCAAACTACGATATGAGAGCACTTGCAAAATCACTTGATACGGTAAAGTAATTACTGTTTTCATCCTTCAACTGTTAATCATCACCACCTTACTCCTAACTATGTTGGGGTCAGTGCCATGAAATTTAACGTCACTAATTGTCTATAGTAAGTTAACATTATGAGTTCGCGTATCAACACATTCTACCTAAGTTTTACTCTGGGTGCCCTTCCTTCCTGATTGCAACATTTTATGAAGGAATTATGAGATTCAATTTCAAAAATGTCGTTATCATATATTGCATCTATTGAAACCACTCATCATTGAACATGGTCTAAATTAATTTCTAGTGTACAACCCTTAGGTACCTTACGTAATAAGGCTTGACTAGTTCAATGTATGCTGATCACCACTGCTATTGATTTCTTCACTGGGCATCATCATACGACACCAAGATGCCGGGAATAGACTGAAAAGTTTCCAGCAATTAATCATTCATGTTTATGCTAATTACTCAGATTGTTTTTAGATGATAATAGAAGTTGTCTTAGAGTCATTGTTTAATTGTTTTTTCTTAAAAGAATAGTTAGAAGTGATTATGCTTTTTCTGTATATCAGGCAAATATATACTACGAGTACATGACTTCTTAGACGGCCTGATAGATTTTTATAATTTAGTGTTTTCTTGTTAGGGGGATACTTCAAGCATTGCTTATGCTTATGAGGTTAGCTTTAAAAGCTTAGTATACTTCATGGTTGCTCCTACATTATGTTATCAGGTGAGCCCTGTTAAGATTTCCATGAATGCTTCAAATAAGTAAGTTTTGTTCCGTTTTTATTCGTAAATAAACTGCAAATGCGTCGATTGATCTAATAGCTCTGTCCGGGCTTGTAAAAATGTCGACTTTGCCAAAGATCTGTTCTTGACTTCATATACGCATGTACCTTTGACTTCAAAGTGATTCTTCCTTTTGATCTGAACACACCACCAGTTCATATTCATCAGTTATTGGTTGATTCAGTTTTAGATCTTTTCAAATTAATTTATTCAATTCAATATGTTTTTACTATTTTTTCTAGTTGGTGATTTTCAGTCTTTAAAACTTTGCATGGTTATCTGTAGCTGAGTTATCCACGGTCTGCCTATATTCGAAAGGGTTGGGTGGTGCGCCAACCAATCAAGTTGATAATATTTACAGGATTCATGGGCTTTATCATAGAGCAGGTGATTAACACATCTCTCAATTTGTTTTCAAGAGGGGGCACTTATGTTATCAGAATGGTGCTGATAGTTTTTATTTTATGCAGTACATCAACCCAAATGTGAAAAACTCGCAGCATCCTTTGAAAGGAAACTTTTTATATGCTGTAGAGAGGGTATTGAAACCTTCAGTTCCAAACTTTTTAAGGTCTGGGGAAGAGCCAAGCCATTAAGGTTAGACCTAAAAAGTCTAACCTTATGTATATTTATAAGAGGCTGTTTCTGTGGTTGTTTGCACACTAAGTTTTCTCAACTTCCACTGATGTTTAGTCAAAAGTTTAGTCCATCTTCTATTTTTTGGCTATCTGTTTTGATTTTCTCTTCACTACTCCCGTAGTCATGTTCTGTGTATACCTCAAAACATTGGCAAGTTTTGAGAACCTTTAGGCAGAGGGAGGTCCTAGCACACAGAGCCTTCGGCACATGGAGCCCCCCGGCACAGAGAACCTTCGGCCCAACATCCTTCGGCCGAAGGCATTCTCCTCGACAGAATCTCCTCTTCACATACGCTGAATCGCCGTACCAAGTACAAACTTCGCATCCAACCACCGTATTTAATGCGGCCACATGCAAATGCCGGTGCCACCCTAATTGAGGTGACCCTTGGCCGTCGGATGCTTGACACGTATCCCTGCCTAGCATTTATTGCTGCTATAAATAGCAGTCCGTTTTCCATTGTAAAGCATCACAAGTTCACATATCGAATACACTCTCTCTTACTTATTGCTCTAACTACTCTCTAGGTTATTCCCCGAAATAACCTCTCGGATAAGATACCCCGAGTACACTATCCATCACACGTATTTACATTTTTACCCTTATTTTGGGCGGGATTTTTCCCTCCAACAACTGTGCACTCACCGTTACTTTATATAATATAAATATGAGTATATTTTTGCATTATTCATATGTTCTACTTTGACTACGTTTTATTTATTGATGTATTAATATATATTTTTTGAAAAAAAATATTGTTAAACTTGTCTCATTGTAAATTTTCAAAATTTAATTTTTGTATATATTAATGGTCAAAATTGTGTCTTTGCAAATTTGATTTTTGTATATATTAATGGTCAAAATTGTGTCTTTGCAGTCTCATTTTTAAACACACGCACATTTTATAACCTCATTTACACCCTTAGAACTTAACGTCTCTCATATCCTCCACATGCGTCTATTCATCAGCTCATGTGTGAACTTTCCAGAAAGGAAAACAGAAATTGCTCTAAATAGGAGCAAAAACGTTTTGAAATTCCAAAATAGGAGTATCATGTTTTTTGTTCCCTGAATAGAAGTATTCTGCCAAGTTTGGAAAAAATGTCATGTTTTAAAGTCTAGTAATGCCAAACTTGGTAGAAATTTACTCATATTAAAGGAATAAAAAACATGATACTCCTATTTTGGAATTTCAAAACTTTTTTACTCCTATTTAAGGAATTCTCTCAAAGGAAAAAGCAAAGAACAAGTCCCTTTCCCATTCTCCCGCAAGCCAGTCAACCCGGAAGGGCGCAACGAGAAGAGACGGACGAGTCCATAGATACACGCACGCACGATCAGTAAGGCGGAAAGAGACCGGATCTGGAATTCAAGCTAGCAGCTTTGACTCGCCGACCGAATTTAAAAACAAAAATTCTTGGTGTACACGTTCTTATACACACCAGTACACCTCTGTGTCTGTGAGAGGTTTTTTGTCTATGAATCTCTGTTCACAGACGAAACTAGCTTGTTTTATTTGTGAAAAATTCTACAGACAAAACAAGTCAGGTTTTGTCTGTCAATTGGGATTCACAGACAAAAAAACTCTCACGGACACGAAGGTGTATTAATGTGTATAAGAACGTGCAGTGGCGGATCCAGCCCGAAAGGTTATTGGGGGCAAGATTTTGGCTTGATTTATAAACAAATGTGTATAGAGTATATATTTTGAATGTGTACTAAAGAGTACCATTAGACACATTTCTTCTTGAACTTAATATATATTTTTTTGTACAGCTTCTTGAACTTAATATAAAATTATGATTTTCGAAATGGTATTCGGGAACAAATAATCAAAAATGATTATAAGAGGCTATCTTTCTTTTGGTAAAGGGTGGTTTTAACTTTAAACTCCTAATAAAGTACTACCTCCGTCCCCCTAAGTTTGGGACAAGAGAAGGTGACACAGTTATTAATAAAAGTGGGTTAATGTGGTTTATATTGTATTGATAAAGTAAGAATAAAGTAAGAATGATTTAGAACCACACAAATTTTACCAAATAAGGTATGTGACAATCTTAGTGGGACAGAACGAAAAGGTAAAATGAGACAATCATAGCGGGACAGAGGGAGTATTAAACATTTGATGATATCTTCATATATATTTATTTTTCGTATGTTTTCGCTTTTCATTTTTCTTATTTATTTGTTAATTATGTGCAAATTATTTTTTTGCTAATTTCACCTAAAGTAAATTAATAAGAGTGCAGACTTTAATAGAGTTTTTCAGCAGAATATTACAATTAAATTTCAACGACGAAAAGAGTTCATATTTGGTTAATAGGAAATCGTATAAGAAATGGTAAAAGAAATTAAACTAATGAATTTGTTAATGAAATACAAGTAGAGATAGAAGTTGTATTGAACTAAAAACCAATATACAATTATACAATTTTGTTAATGATGATATTGAATTATTAGGGGTTAGGATAAACCACCTCATCGAGAAGTGTTTGATGTTTAAAGATAACATTGTAGAGACGAAATTATGACATACTATCTATATACTCAATCATATCAAACTTTTTGATGAATAAATAAAATATTTTTAGATTTTGATGTAAATTATTATTGAGCATGGTGATAAATGAATTAATTTTAGTCATAATCATATCAAACTTTTTAATCACATACTACTTCTTAGTAAAAAATGTGAGATAATTTAGGTGGATAAACCAGTGGTTTATTTAGAAATAGATGAAGTACATTTTATTCCATGTGCATGAAGTTAATGTTTACAATTAAAGAAAATGATGATAAAATATTAATACGGAGTATGTTGATGTGCTATGTGACTATGTGGGCTGATCAATTTTGCATTTTATTGGAGGCAATGACATATTTTTATTGGGTGCAATGACATATTTTTATTGGGGGCAAAGCATCCTATTATTAATTTTTTGTAATGGGTGTGCTAATTTATTGAGAGGTTATTGGGGGCAAGTGCCCCCATTCAGATGTATGTGTATCCGCCCCTGAGAACGTGTACAAAAGGAATTTTTCATTTAAAAATGGCCCACCCCAAATTTAGGAAATGACTTAATTTTAAATGTAAAAAATTTTGTTTAACTTTTTTCCAAAAATATTTATTGTACGGCCCAGTACCCTAGCATCACGAGAGAAATATTTGGTGTCGCACTCTTTCACTATCGTCAATTGTGGGGGAGTGATTCGGTTATTAAAATTTGTGAAGTTAATTTTTGGTTTGTATTTGGTGGTCTGGGTAAATATGAAAATAAGGAAAATTATGGGCGTCAGACCCATTATTTTAATAGTAGCATTGCCCTAGTCACTTAGGGTTAAACCCAATTGGTAGTAGTCGATAGAAAAATCATGATTACTTAGACTTCTTACTACTTGAAAAGGGCTTGAAATCCCTTTTAGAAGATGCACACGAGGCCGACCCTGACGTATAAAAGGTCCTTTTTAAAACTGAATGTGAGGTCCTGAAGTATAAAACACAATATTAATACTCCCATTGTTTTTAAATAATAGTCACTTTAGGTTTTTATAGTTTTTAAGAAGAAAATAGTACGGGTAACACAGAGGTGTAAAGTAAATAATAAAAAAAAGAAAACGAATATATTTAGAGGAGTAAAGTAACGATAAAGTATGAAAGAGAAAGTAATATTCAAGTTCGTCCCAAAGTGTACGAGAGCTTTGTGCTAATTATTGTTACTAGGCCTTATGTAATAAAGAAATTGCACAATTGTAATCAACAATTGCATTCTAATTACATATAAATATCACTATTTAGTATTTTAATTTAAAAAAGTACTAAGATAGGAATCTTTAATAAAATAAATAAAGATTTTGTATATTATGTAGACTATATTTAAAATTTTGGGCCTTCTGAGTCGAGACATTATTATAAGTTATGCCAAGGCGGCACACTCAAGCCTCAAGCCTTTGAAAGCTAGGCGGGTTTAAGCGAGGTATATGCGTGAAAAGGTGTTTCAGGTTTTTTCCCTTTATTTTAATTTTTGTAGAGTTATTTTTATATGTGTAAATTCAATCTTGCCTAATTGTTTTTCTTTTTTATCCATCTCATTAAGTTAGTACCATACCATATTTGCTATTATTTGTGTGGTTCTAATTCAACCTTAATTTTATTTTCACATATAACCAGTTAAATATTAAGTACATAATTTAATTTTCTTTAATAATCACCACTCTATTTGGACAAAAGTAATATCATACAAGAACGTCATACTTTTCACATTACCAACAACATATATCTCTAAAGTCATAAATCTCACAAATACAAATTAATTAACTTATTACATCAAATTAGAATTGAATAAAATAACTGTATATGGTAAAATAATAATCATGATGATTACAAAAAGGACATTGATGATAATGCTTATAATTAATAATATAGTATTAATAATACTACGTAAAAATTAGTGGTTCTTTACTTGTTTAGTGTATTTATAAAAATATTCTTATAAATGAAAACAAAGTTCAATAAGTGGGTGTAGGGATGGACTAAACCGGGCCGGCCCGACCCGGAACCGGCCCGGCCCGTTACAGTTTGGACCCGGAACGGACCGGACCAGTTGGCCGGTTCCGGGCTTTTAACCCGTTTGGGCGGGTCGCACGGGCCGGGCTCGGGCCCAACTTTTGGTGAATCGGGCCGGGCGGTTCGGACCGGGCCCGGTTCAATTTTTTTTTTTTTTTTTGCTTTTTCAATTTTTTTGCTTTTCTAGGTTAGGGTTGGGTGTTTTCGGGGGGGGGGGGGGGGGGGGGGTTGGGGGGTGGGGGTGAAGGGAGGGGTGTTAATTAGAAACCAAAAAAATTGAACTTGACCCGGACCCGGCCCGGTTAGGCCCGGACCCGGTATCAACCCGGGCCGATTCCGAAGTGGGTGTGTAGACAAATTGGAGCCAAGTGGAACCATAGCTAAAGTTGAAAATGCATATTTGAGTTCGTCCCACACAGGAAGAAAGAGGAGAATTCCTTTTCACGATGCTCTATAAATGTCTCCACTTCTTTTGAAAATTCTAGACATCTGAGTCTAGATTGGCTATGGGGCTATGGGCATTCCAAGTTTTGGGTTTCAGGTATAAAGGAACGTCTTTTGCAGCACCTAATAGGTGTGTGAGGCATTTGGTTGGTGCCTCACGCCTACGCCTAAGGATAGACTAAACCGATTCGGCCCGGCCCACTACTGTGCGGGCCCAAGCTGGGCCAAGACCGGTTGGCCAGTTCCGGGCTTTTAGCCCATTTGGGCGGGTCAAGGCCAGGCTCAGGCCCAACTTTTGTTGAACTGGCCTGGGCAGTTCAGACCAGGCACGGTTCAATTTTTTTTTTGTTTTTTCAATTTTTTTTCTTCTTTTCCTAGGGTAGGGCTGGATTTTTTGGGGAGGTTTGGGGGTAGCGGGTGAGGGGGGTCGGGGGATAACAAGAATGGCAAAAAAAATTAAACATGGAACCAGGCCCAGTCCGGCCCGGTTAGGCTCGGACCCAGTATCAACCTAGGCTGGTTCCAGGCCCAAGTAATTGCAAAAAAAGCCTGCCCGGGCCCGGCCCGGAACCGGACCAGCCTAGGTCCATCACTACCTACGCCCGCCTATGCGGTGCCTTTTGAAGTGTTTTAGATCACTGCTTGTATGCTAGCATTCCAGCATGATATGAGAACTCAAGTGCTTCTTAAAACTGTTGTTTTCAAATCAATGCTTCCCATTAGCATGAAGCATGAGCCCATCATAATAGCACTCACAAGTGACAAGTCCCCAAATAAGATAGAAACTGAAGCAATCATGGAGTACCACCAGTTTTTAGCAAGCATAAATTTCTAAAGTGAAAAATATTTATCCTCCACTGAGGAATCTAAGTATCTAACCCAATCTAAGTGAGGAAGATTCCTCCATGAAGTGAGGAATCTGATACAACTGTAAAAACATGACTGATGATGCTCTTAATTATTTCCACGTCATTTAATAATAACAAATATCAAGGTGATGATGTGTCCCCTACCAATCCATCTATTTCTTCAAAAACTATATAGTGGTAGAAGGAAGTAGTGAAAGTGAGTAGTAGTCGGGTCAAGTCCCCTTAGATTGTCGACTGATCTTTTCTTCAATTCCTGATTGTGAGAACCTTAGCCTCAGAACTTGAAGAACTTCCTCGATTTTCACATCTCTATTGGCAAGTAGAACCATGGCATGATAAACCAAATCTGCCGCCTCTGATGCAGTTCGTCCTTTCTCCTCATTTTCCTCCAAAGTGCGGCATAGCTCATCTGCCTCCTCCCTGCAATAGATGATGTACCACCTACGAGAATGAAACTATACATGCCTATGTGTACTCAACCCGTGTTCCAAAATAGCAACTTATCGTTCTGTCATTAAGTCATATATATTTACTTACGACTTAACTGAAAGCACAATTTATTGAATCAGTAAAAAAAATTACTTATTAATTGAGGTGCAATATAGTAGTCATTTCCTTTAAAAAGCATATTAAGACGTCATTTCAGCTGCTTTTTTAAATTGGATGTGGAAATGACAAATCAAAGTGCGTATTGACAATAGAACCCAATAATAATACTAAATTAATTATGTACTCAACTCGGACTATTTATTCAACACACAAAATAAACATAAACAGTCTCATATACATACATCACTTCATTTTGATAAAAAATGTAAACAACCTCTAAGTGTCCATTATCTAAAGACATTTTGTTCAGAACCAAGCTTTTTTCTATCTTTTTTTTGGAGGACAGGTTGACATGTATATAGCCGGTGATGATAGCTCCTGAGAAAAAGGGGTATAATTTATGACAAAAACGTTTTCTTTCTTGATGGAGCATTTGTGACAAGAAAAGATAAAAGATGTAGTCATTGGGAGTCTGAAGTGTGGAAATTTCATGGGTATTTTGAGTACCATGGTCTACAATATACTAATGGTCAGTTAATTAGTAACAACTCAGAAAGGTTGAAATTTGTTGGGTAAAAATACTTTGGAATGTTTGTAATAAATACCATATTTTACGAGGGTTGAGAAGCATCATACCGGATTTTTGAGCAAAGCAATTTATCATCAAGCAATAGTCGTTTTGTCCATGAAGGTTTTTCATTTGAAGATCTTGGCAGTTCATCTTTCCTTTGGTAGATTGTTGATTCTAATGAGTATAAGGATGTGAGAGCCAGCTTATTTTCTTCCATCTAGCACAGACAAGACACTTTTGTATATGAATATCTCCATAGTAATAAACAGAAAATTCTGTTACAATTTCACTAAATAATGAGGCATAAATGTCTATTTTAAAAGGTGGGAGCATGGAATAAATTAAAAGAGAAAGAAAGTGAAAATTTGTAGATTTTCAAGTTGTTTGAAGGGAAAGGAGGGAATGTAAAGATGGTTTTTCGTGTAGACATGTGCATTAGTATATCCTCAATTTAGATATACTCCCTCCGTCCCTAAATTATCTTCAAACTTTCCTTTTTCGTCCGTCCCAAAATTATCTCATCTTCCCCCTTTTAGCAAAAAATTTATGGTTCACAACCATTCTTACACATTCTTACACATTTCTCTCTCCTCTGCACAACTCTCCACCACACAAATCCCACTATCTTAATAAATGTGCCCAGCCGAAAAGGGAGAAAGATTAGGGATGGAGGGAGTATATTGTAAGGTAGAAAGAAAATAGTAAGGTCAAGACGGGGATTGCCCCATAAATTCTCCCCTTGTTTTTCTCTCCATCTAAACAACAAAGATGCATTTTCTCACACTTCTTTCCACTCATAATCATGCAAAAAAACAAAGGGTAGTTCATCATACAAAACCTGTTCATGTGTATCGACATCACACAAAGATGTGTAATAACATGTTTCTGAACCCATGTGGCAAGTTGGTCCAACGGGCTTCCCGAGATATATAATCTGAAATAGGTTCTTACTTGGTCAAGAATCATGAAGATGAATGTTTGAATTGATAGCCTCCATAAATAATTTTGAAAACTTACAGAATCACGATCACAATCAAGAAAAACATCACAAATATTTATGAAATTCATAGAGGTCTCCCCCTTGGTCCATAAGGTGGACCGTGACCGACTCCAGAATGTTGCCTTTCGAGATGAAAGGGTTTGTAAAAGAGCATCCCGATTGGCAAACCCTTGCATTAGAACAGCACCAGTGTCAACATTTTGAGCTATTGCCACCGCTAAACCTTTATCGTCCCATTTGATGCTATCTAGTAAGGAACCAACCTGCAAATCAAGTAGAAACTACAGTTCATTCCTAGCATTTAACAGTAACGATCCAATCAGATTTTTAACACAGAAAAAGGTATATTTTAGCAATTCACAATACAATTTTTCTCCAAACAGAACTTCATTAAACCTAAACCCCAATCTAAGATTGAAATCCTCCGGGAGCCTGTGAACTACCATACCTTCCCGCCAAAAATAAATCAATTCAGAAGTTATATATTCCTTGCGTATCTTGATTTAAGTTGTATGAGGACTCCTGAGGGGAAAAAGTGAATATCTTATCTTCTCAAGCAGGACGCTTTTGCAGATTACAACTTATGAGCAATCTAGCTAAAAAGTATGAATCTCTAAGTAGACACAAGATATTAACCCTTCCATACTGTACTAGTGTTCCTTGTTCCAAGTATAGTGCTTCGAGATATATTATTTATAATCCTACATTTAATCACCAAATTAGGAAATTACATTCAATTACATACAAGCAAACACTAAATAAAAATGAAGATGGTTCCCAGCTAACAACCACTTGTCCGTGTTTATTATTAATCCTAAAATTATTATTAGTACTTATTAGTATATTTATTATATTTATTGGTGTTGTTATAATTTTATTATTATTATTATTATTATTATTATTATTATTATTATTATTATTATTATTATTATTATTATTATTATTATTATTATGGCAAAGCTTTCTAACCTATTATAGTATTTGTTCTATGTTAAGGCCAACATTCTTGAACTGGGATGTTGGCCTTAACAATGAAACGGAAATCAATCAACTATAAGTAAAATTTCCTCGTTTGATATGATTCACCTTCGTTTGCAGATTCGGGTCTTGATTTAACTTGTTGCTGCTTGAAAGCACAATGTGGCAACTGTGTATCTGCTTAGAGCTGGGGTATAAGAGATTGCAATGGGCTGCAATTTTAATGGGCTGAAAGCAATAAGAATGTGGATGTGCCATCACAGGTCACAACACAGAAACCTTGGGCAGCTCTCAAGCGCAGCTCTTAAGCGCATAAGACCTGAGAAAAAAGAAAGCCACATCTCAGTCTTGCAGATGGTTGAAGGCGAAGCTGTTAGGGTTTTCCTTCAAGACTTTATTAAGCTGTAAATTGTAAAGACGAGAACGGCTAAAGGTTGATTTGGGCTGAGGCTTCGAATTGTATTAATACTCCATACTGTTCTCTTTTCTATGCCACATCTCATTTATGGCTCAGTTAGTTTTTCTTTTAATTATTAGAGGTCGTTTGTCAACCCTCATTTTCGGTTTATCAGGTTTATTAGCCAACTTTTTTACCAAACACGTAAATTTTGCTTTCGCGCGCTGAATTGTGTAATAAGCCGAAAAAGTAAGGTTGAAGTTACTTTTCTGACTGTATTGGCTGAAGTTACTGTAGATGATCATTTTAACTATTTTTACATATAATTTTTTCTTTATTTTATTAATAAAATATATTTTAAAAATATTTTTTTCTTGTATAAGCAGAATCCATGAGAAGCTTGGAGAGCGGCAACAAGATCAACTATCTTCTCAATACAGGGGATTCCATGGCCGTGCAAAGATGGAGAATTATCGATCCCCAGCAACTCGTCTACCGTATCCTCTTCTCAAATGGATAACAGAGCATCTCCCTACCAAATTCTCAACCAAAAAGCTCTTCTTCTTCTGAAAAGAATTAGGTAAATTTGACCAAGCCTGACTGAGTTCATTAGATCAAATTTGTTACCTTTCTCTGCTTAAAATTTCTATTCGACTATCACAGATTGCCTTTCTCTCCATCATTTTCTATTCGTAAGCTCCGTTTTCTCCATACTTTTTCGTTTGTTCAGGTTCGTTCAAGTTCTCGCTGATTTAGATAAGCTTAATTTTTATTTTATTTTATGCACTTGCATCAAATACGGTAAAGCAAGTCTGAATGTGCATTTTAGAGATAGGTAAATCATTTGAACGTGTAATTGCTTGGGGCTTTTCCCTTGAGAGGCCAACTGTGATATTTTACGGGATTGACAATATTAGAGAACCGTTTAGACACAAGGTGGATACTGCCATCTTAGTCTAATAAAGAAGAACCACATATGTATACATAGATAGAGTAATATTAGGTCCAATTTCTTTCAATTATTTGTTTTATTAATATATATTGCACACTCTACTAAATGATGTCAGGTGGTTGTTTAGGAGAGTAAAGTTTTGTACATTTGCAGGAGTTAACTTGTGATTTGTTGAATGCATCAACATTCTGAGATGCCTCCATTATTTGACAGGTTAATAATGATATGAGTTTTAGAGTTCGTGTATATCATTGTTTCATCAAAGTGCAAGTATAACAAGACCAATTATTAGTGAGAATTTTGATACTTTCTTGGTAAGTCATTTGGTGATTTATGTGTGCATGTACACACATGTGATATTTTTTTAGATTGTACTTTGCTTACAGGAGCTGGAAAACTGATTCATGATCAAGAAACATTCTGATGCTCTCTTTTGCAATACTGCTATACCAGTTACTGGGAAGTTTTCAGCTCCTGGATGCACTTTGTGTTGTATGTGTCTTTGCTGAGAGCAAATTAAGATATGACTTGCCTCCATCCTTTCTGTCCATTGTCTTGTCGCCATCTTTGAAAAGCGAGAAGAAAGTGCGTTCACATCTTGAGTCACTCTGTGATAGCTCAAACAACATACTGGAAAGCAGAGGATGATAGTGTAGTTCGTGCTTTTGGAGGTGATACTGATGTGCATCCTTATATCTCCTTCACAATGAATCTTGCTTATGTTAGTTGTGTCATTGCATTATCTATTTCAATGGAGCATTTGATTCGTGTATTTTCCCAATAAACTAATAAAGGACATACTGAAGTTTTAAAATTTTAAGTTTTAACACCTCCTTACTGATCAAATAGGTTTTGAGTTTTATTGTTTTAACACCTCCTTACTGATCAAATCATTTTCATTTTATTTTTTATGATGATATCTAAATGTTACTGGATAACACCTCTAAGTACGTATATTTGCTCTATTACAATGTCGGGGTATTCATAAATGGAAAACTATTCGAATCCTAATATATATAATGTTATTCAATCTTCTAAATTGTAATGACATTTTTGAAAGGAATTCAAAAGGGTAAACTATTCAGGTTATGACTTCTGCTCATATTTTGTAGCAAGTATTATATCCCAAAAACGGGCATGGATAAACTAAATATTTGAATGAAAAGTGAGGTGGTCATATGTCAGAGCACATGATTGTATATATTAGTGTTGTTACTTATAATTATTACCATGGTTTTGATATAAACAGAACATGAACTAATAGTGTGCTTGCACTTTCATTGGCTTGACTTTGAAAACATCTATTGAAAGCTATTACCTGATCCCCTAGTACCTGGTATGCCTAATTAACTTTTTGAATCTTTTCATGATGTAGTATCTTCATTATAGCAATAGCTGAACACATGGAAGTTGTCCATACAAACAGGAAAGATGCAGAGCTGTGTCTTCGTCTTCTACTGGTTCATTAATGCTACTTAAGTTGACTAGATCATGGCGAAGGGAGTCTAGCTGACCGTGCTTGGCTGCAATGGCAACTTCGCGAAGGTGAGGGTAACTGTTAGCATTAACTGGTTGTAACTCCATTTCTTCTGCAGTGAATATATATTCATCTTTATCTTCATCTCCCAAGCCGTTAGGTCTCTTACAATTATAATAATTGTATGCTTCCAAGTGTCGTAGTGAATTGTTATAGACAGTTAGTACGCTAGTTAATTTATTGTCATATTTTATAGTAATTTGCATTTTATTGCAGACGCATAAAAGGAAAAGAAGCATATGACGGTGATAATAAGACTAAGAGGATCAATGAGAAAAAGAAGACAAGAGAGCTAAATCTGGGGAACTATGTATTAATTAAGGTGTATAAAATATATATGATAAGAAGCAAAGGAAGCAAAGTCAAATAACATACTCGATAAATGAAATAAATTGAATTATATATTTATTGTGATAGATTCTTTGTGTTGCTTCTTGTTGCATTATATTTGTTTCTTTTTGTTGCGTTTTGTTTTTTTTGTTGTTGCATTGTGTTTCCTGTTGTTGCATTGTATTGGACATGGTTAATGTTTATACTTGAATTTGATTATAGTTGTTTATTTAGGTTCCTACTTATTTTTGCTACTTCTTGAAATAAAAAAATCATGTATTGATATATAAATACTTAAATTGATAAATTTCGATCTGTGAATATCAACAATAAAACTTGATGAAACAATAAAAAATAAACATGCAAAATCTGCAACAAAAATAAACATAAAGCAACAAAATGCAACAAAAAATAACAATAAAATGATAACACTGTATATGATTTCAAATTAACTTTTCTAATGATTTCAAATTTTTTATATTTATTTGAATTTTTATTTTCTTTAATATGTATATTTTCAAATTTTTTAAAATAATTAATTTTTCATAAAATATTCTGATGATTTTTAGTTTCTAGAAATTAGCTATATTTCATTTATCTTAAATTGTTTCACATGGGTATTTTTGAGAATTTAGTTTTTTAAGAATCAATTAACGCTTTTTTTGTTTTTTGTTTTTTTGAATTTTTAATAATTTATATACTTTTGTTTATTTATTTCTTTATTAATAATTTCCGATATTTGTATTTTTTAAAATTTTATGTAATTATTTCCAATTTTTCATCAAACTTTTTATCCCTTGTAATTTTTAAGATCTTAGAATTTCAATTTATAAAAGTATCCTTATTTTGTACGTAGTATATTTTCATTTTTTAAAAAGTTTTATTTTATAATCTACATTTTTTCATAATTGAATATTAAGTTTAAAATTATTTAGCAATTTATAGAGAGTGAGTCCTAGTATCCTCTAAGGAGAATATACAGAGTAGGGAATACATGATTTTCCGGCCCTTCCTCAAACATCTCTTAAATCCCATATATTGAAGATGAGTACAACAAGGTTATGTCCAGTGTAGTATTTTCTTATTTGTATGTCAGTTATGTCTAATGTCATATTAATTGTGGGATCTATCTGATAGACAATTTGCCTAATACATAAAGCATCTAAAAACTTGTATACTTTAAATATATAGATTATTCCATCAAATCATAATAAAAAAGACAAACTCAAATTTATTATTCAAAGACATTAATTAACTCAACAACTTAAAGATACTTCAATCTTCAATCTGACCACCATACACTTCCCACGAGTGGTTGATAAGATCACGTTTCAGATCTTTATGCACCCTCTTGTCTTGTATTTGTTTCATTCTATTGTTTATCCTTGATACAAGATACGTAAAATCATGCTCTAGAGTAACATTTTCAACTGCTTCTTCGCTTTCTGACTGCCAATTTTCAGGACTGATGTCTTGGCCAATCTCACTTTCAATAATCATATTATGCAAGATGATACATGTTTTCATTATTTTTCCCAAGTCAGTTACACTCCACATGCGAGCAGGACCTTTTACTATATGCCAACGACTTTGTAAGACTCCAAATGCTCGTTCCACATCCTTCCGAATAGATTCTTGACATTTTGCAAATAGCTTCTCCTTCATAGAAGTTGGTTGTGAGATCGTTTGGATTAATGTGGCGTATTGTGGATAGATACCATCAGATAGATAATAGTCCATATTGTAGTGATGGCCTTGTATCACAAAATCACATCTTGGTGCAATATCATTGACTCGGTCATCAAATAGAGGAGATCTATCGAGAACATTCACATCATTGTTAGTACATGCCATACCAAAGAATGCATGCCAAATCCATAAACTATGTGAAGCAACAATCACTATAATAAGAGTTGGAACTTTTTTGAACCCATTAGTAAATGTTCCATGCCAAGCAGTCGGACAATTTTTCCAGTGCCAATGCATACAATCTAGACTACCAAGCATTCCTGGAAACCCCCGAGCTTCACTTTCTTCTAACAGACTTGCGATATCAGATTTATTTGGTTTTCTCATATATTTTTCTTCAAACAATCCTATTATAGCATCACAAAATTTTTTCAAGCATTCAATTGCAGTACTTTCTCCAATTTGAACATATTCATCAAGGGAATCTACTGAACAGCCGTATGCAAGCATTCGTATCGCTGTTACACATTTCTGTAAAGGACTCAATCCTACATTTCCAACTGCATCATCCTTTTGTGTAAAGTAATTGTCATAATTCTCTACTGCGTGCAAAATTCTCTCGAAAAAGCTCAATATCCATGCGAAAGCGGCGACGAAATTTATCAGCGGTGTACTTTGACTTGTCACCACTAAAGTAGTCTTTTTTAATTAACTCATGACGATCTTTCCTATCACGGCAAATATATTCCCTACCAATTGTTGAGCCCCCATGTGGACGTTTATTACCTGCTAAAAATGTAGAAAGTACAAGTGGAACCTGAATTGCACCGGTTTGAATCACAAAGGAGTTTGATTCTTCATCAAAACCATCATCTGTCCAAAATGTCTTGGTAAGTGAAAGTGACTCTGTGCTTGATGATTCACTAGGAGAGCTCAATTCAGATTCAGAGTCTCCTGATGACATATCCTGGATCATGTAAATATACAAACTTAGGTATAAAAAGTCACACTATGTATAATGAATATGAAAAATGTCCATAATTAACTCAGAAAGTATGAAATTCCAAAATCAATTTATCTGGCAATAAAACTAAACTAACACAGGTTACTTGATGTGTGTGTGTGTGTGTGATAGGCTGATAGCACCTACAAAAATATAATAACTTTAGTATCACGATTTGGATGCTATTAATATTTTTGTATGATTTAAAAATATACACATGAATATGACAGGTCAATGATATAAACTAAAATTGCATGTAGTGCACATGAATTATTATTACCTAATTCGAATAGTGCAGATTTTCTTTTCTCTTCTCGGATGGATGAATATGGGTGATTAATGGTGCATCAGTGGTCTCTTTGATCATACAGGTTGGAAGAATAGAAGAATATGAGTACGAGATCATAAGAATTTCTTTGATCATGCGGCAGTTTGTAATTTGAATATGGGTTGAAAGAGTATGAATAGGATTTGGATTCAAATAATGGGTGCAGCAGTATTTCAACGGAGTCTATTGAATATTAAATGACACATAGATAAATATTGTAAGATGTTGACATTGTGCATTGGAGAACTTTTATTTAATTCTTTTAATGTACACATGATGTGGATAGACATAACTTTAAATACTTGACATTTGGCAAAAATTAGGTCCCGTCAAAAGAAAAGGATTGATGATGCTCTTAGGAGACGACATCCCATAGTTCGTAAGTGTGCTTTAAGGAGATTGGACTATTTGTGAAAACTTATTTGTAACTAGTCTATTTTTGAAAAGAAAGTAGAAAAGTGAAAAAAGTGATATATTTTTAATTTTTAGGTCTATTTGTGATAAATTCCCTTTAAAATATGAGTTTCGCCAGCCCATTAAACAACGTATAAAATATGGACTACCAAGTATAAATACCAAGACAAATTTGAGGGCTGCATAGTTCAAAAAATCCAAAATCCATTCACGTGCTATCTTACATCTTTGTCCCCCTACGGAAAATCTCCTGAAATCAGAGAAACAAGTTTAACAAACATTTCCACTGAAATATCTTTTTGTTTTTTGTAAAAAAAAAATAGCTTAATTATTAGATTTTTTTCCTAATTAATGCTAAAAAGAATTATTTAAAAAATTATGGTAAAGTTAAAGTATTTTCTTGCATTTAATTTAACAAAAATCCATTTATAAATTTGATTTTTTTTGTCAAACAAATTTATAAAAATACTTCATTAGACACTATTTTACGTGTAGAATTTGGCCATATTTGACAGCTACACTGGAGCATGCATCGAGTGCGGTGGAATCTGGTCACCCTCCCTCCTGCCAACCGCAACCCATCCCCACCGCACTGACGCAATCCGCAGAAACAAAAATGGAATCAAAATCAAACCCCTGAAGATAGAAAATCAACACAAAACCACTTCCTCGATCGGACCTTCGTACTGCATACATACAGGCACGAAAATGGAAGACCTGAGATCAAAATCATTCAGCGATTCCAAGGCGCAGGTGGCAGATTCGTACGGCTTCTCAAACCCTAACTCTGCCGGCCTTCAGGATCTCAGGTGCTACAGTGCTTCGTATGCCGCATCTTCGAACAGCAACGGCGGCAGTGCTGCCCCGACGAAGACGGGATCCGGAGATGTGAATCTGAAGAAGGGGAAGTCGATGAATGGATGGGTGTTCGGAGACCCTGAGCTGCTGAGGAAGAAGAGGGTGGCTAGCTATAAGGCTTATACTGTTGAGGGGAAGCTCAAAGGATCTTTGCGGAAGAGCTTTAGGTGGATTAAGGAGAGGTCTGCTCAGGTAGTCTATGGCCGGAGGTGAGATTTAATTTTCTTCCTACTTTTCCTCAACTTTGCATCTTTACTTTGACATTGTGACAACTCCGGTACCCATTTAAAAAATACCATAGAATCTAACATTGTTAATATGTATTCACAGCCTTGCGTAAGAATTAAGAAATGGTAATATGGTATGGAATATGGATGCTGATTCAGCTTTCCTGATTAGATGTAATCTTGAGTTTCATTTAATTATTTGTTCTTTATTGATGACAATTACTCTGCTCTAAATCTTCAATATGGGTTTTGTTAACCACAGGCTTATATACATCAATAAGAGATGAATATCCTTTATGGTTTTCATAGATTTTTTCCTTTCACGTTTACCACTCCAGGCTCCAGCAACAAATCTTTCATCAAGAAAGAACTTAGTTCTATTATAGAAAGTAAATATTTCCTAAAACTTCATAGAAACTTAGCCCTTGAGACTATGGTTAGGATTTTTCCTTTCAATAATGAATACAAAAATTGAGAGGAGTTACGTTGGGTTAATTCCTGTCGCCCATGGAATTGGATTCTCTAATTTTGAGCAACAAAAAAAGCAGTTTCCTTAGCCACTGAGTTTGTGTTTGGTTGCATGACTTGCATCAATGAGGGGAGTCGATCAAATTCTCTACTTTCACTTTCGTATTTGCCACACATTTGGAAATGGGAAGAGAGCCTGTTCTTTAGTGATGTGGAGTAATACCCAACTAGTGGTGGACTCGGTTCGGGCCGGGCCCGGTTCGGGCCTTGAACTGGCCGGGCCTCGGTTCACGGAAGGGAGGCCCGGAACCGGCCCGGATAACCCCGGGTCCGGTTCGGTTCGGGTCACCCGCCCGGTTCACGGGGCGGGCCTTTTAATTAGTCAATGATGCAATTTCAAAGAAGCCTTTTAGCTTGTTTGACCCATTTCAGCTCTTTGATTAGTCAAAGAAGCTAATAATAATGTTTAGTAAATGGCTTTTAAAATTAGCTTGTTGAGTTTGAAAAGCTGAAAAAATGGATGGGGGAAGAAGCTAAAGGGAGCAACTTCTTCATTTGGCTGGTTTAATTTACGCTCTATCAGCCATTTCGAAACAACCAATTTTACCAAACACGCTAACATAACTAGTTGGTCAAAACAGCTAACACAACCAGCTGTTACGAAACAGCTGACACAACCAGCTAACACCAATAGCTAACCGCCATTATGCCGTAGCTTTTCTATGGATTATTAACTTCTTTTATCACAAAGTATCATCAAATTAACAAATTTATTCTATTCTTTGACTTTTATCAATAAAAGGTTCAAAGTTTCAAACCTAATCTTTTTCACAATTAGTTTTTTGTTTTTTCAAAATTACACATTTTTATCCATAACAATAACATATAAGCAATACAAGTTTGTAAACTTAAAACAAGAAAGAAAAAAAATGAAATATAAATATGAATTTCTTCTTAAGTTTTACCCCACGGTCTCACCCATTGAAAGTGGAATTGTGAGAAAAGTTGAAGTTTCAGCCCTTTTTAATAAAAGTAAAAATATGAGATAAATTTGTGAATTTGATGATAGTTGGGGGATTTGTGAATTTAATAATCCCTTTTCTATTGGAGGATTTATCAAGATAAAATGACTAGAACATTACTAATGGCTTTAGTGCTTTACCACCGACAAAGGGGTTCTCCTCAAATTTACTCCATTCAAAATTGAAGTCAATTTACTCCATGTCACTGTGATAGCCGAAGATCTTTCTAACGACTTCTTTTTCGGCGAAACGGATACCTTAATGGCTAGTCAGTTACCACCACCACCCCTAACCCTCTCTATCCCCACGCCGCAGCACCATAAACCTTAGCCTAGGGATGGACCGGTTCCGGTTCGGGGCGGTTCGGGCCTGGGCCCGACCAGGCCTCAGTTCATGAAGGGGAGGCCCGGAACCGGCCCGGGTAACCCCCGGGCCGGGCCTCGGTTCTATTTTTTTTTGGCTTTTCCTAGTTAACCCCCAACCTTCCCCCTCACCCCCAAACCAACCCTAACCACCTCAAATGGCCCAAAATACTCAGCCCAACCCAAAATCTTAAAAAAATTCAAAAAAAAAATAAAAGATTGGCCCGGCCCGAGCCCGAACCGGCTGGACCGGTTCACCTTTTGAAGGGCCCGAGCTCGAACCGCCATCCCACCGGGCCAGGTGGCCCGAACCGGCCAATCAACCGGTTCACCGGGCCGGTCCGGGCCCGCACAGTAGCAGGCCGGTCCGATTTCGGGCCGGCTGGCCCGGCCCGAGTCCACTCCTACCTTAGCCTCTACCCCCTACCCTGCCCCGGTCTTGACCTACCCCAAACCACCCCTCTTTAGCTCTTGCTCCAACCAGCACAGTCCCCTAATGTACCCCTCCCTAGCCCCGATCAGACCAACCATGACATGGCTCACCATTTCACTCGTTGAAGCCCCAACCTCTGTCGCCAAGCTGCCACCCCAGAAACCTAGCCATTGCCCAGTGCGCTCGCCGGCGAAATGTCCTATCCCCAACCACCATCGCCTTGCCTCGCCTCAGCCTCCTTGCCAGGGGCGAAGGTGGAGGGGTGGCCAATCAGGCCCTGGCCCAGCCCAAATTTTAAAATTGCTTATATTTTTAATGTAAAAATTTATGTGTAAAAATTTATATGTAAAAATTCTTTGTACTGGCCCAGTACAATTCTCACTTCTGGCTACGCCCCTGCTCCTTGCATCTCTGCAACTCGCTCGGGCCCCACTCGCCGCCACAGATCTGAAATAGCCATCAATTTGAAAGTCTAGCGAACAACAATGACATGTGACAAGAAAGAGAGAAGCATGTTCAACATCATCATCAACACGCGAGCGCTGGTTCTCATGGTCGATTCCCTGGCATGTGACAAGGAGGTGCAGGTGATTTGGGATATTAATTAAATCATTTTTTGTCCAGATAAAAAAGGTTATATTTTTGTCCATCCAACCCTTACCTGCAATATTTTTGTCATTCTATCCATTATATTCTCTGTTTTTAGAGCTTTTGACGATTTTAGACAACATGTTAATGAAAACTACTCTATAATGATTACAACTAATATACAAATTTTAAGCGTGCACCATTTAACAAAAACGCATGCATGTCTTGCGGACTCTTGCCATTCCCGATTGACAAGTTTTGGACGAGATGCAACCACTGAATTAAATTATATTTTAGAGGTTTTCTTTTTTACTCTTTTCGATTCGAGATCAGACCAGACCAGATTTAAACAGATCAGACCAGATCAGACTTAAACAGATCAGATCTAACTCTCATAGTTTAAAATACACAAAGATAAGGCGTATATCGGACCATACTAGTGCAGACCAGACTAAACATAAACAGATCATACCACTTCAGACCAGACCAGCAAAATACAGTCTAAAAGAAAACATCCTTAAACATAACAAATTTAGGCAATGATAAAATATATCTACCTTTACCACATGAGATTATTAGATTTTATTTAAATAGAATAGACCATAAATCACGGTTGACTTGAAAACATAGATAGATGGAATTGATGTATTTGTTCCTTGACACCAACGAGTTTGTCCACCAGTTGTGCTCTGAAGATGGAAATGTTTCAGTGGACATTTTTGGTTGGTGAAGAAGATATAAGAGTCAAAATGTTTTTTTCTACATATAAGACTACCGTTAAGTTTGAGAAATAATTACGAAATTAATATTAATGTTTGATAATGTCAAATTATGTATGTGTGATTTCAGGATGTTAATAATTTTTTTCTAAAAAAGGCAACCCGGTGCACATTGGCATACATGTAAGACGATGTCCGGGAACTTGTATTAAAGAAAAGTTTTCTGTGATCATTTTGACAAGAGACCGCTCTCAAGGATTGAACTTTCTGTGTGAGCGTTGGAGTCACACACTCACCCCTTTCTCGCAATAATTTCTTTGTATTTGGGGAAATCATGATACATCTACTTAATGACATACTTCTTCTGCCCTTATATGATTTAGAAAGTTTATTTTCGTGATTAATAAAGTTTGATTTTATTTACTTATTTAAAATATTATTTTTTTATTATATTGTATTTTGGTTTATGTGACATTATAGAAGTTCAATGTAATTTTCGAATATTTATTTAATTATTAAAATTGGCTTAAGGGCATCAATATCCGTTTGTTTTTTTGAAGATTAATTCAAAGATCGGCATTGAACGAGAGAGATCATCTAGCGGGATTAATTAAAAAGAAACTCTTGTATTGGGATTTAATCCCAGATTGCTTTAAATTGTAGTTAAGGTATATAGCAGAGAAACTTATTCTATGAGAATCATTTTTTATAAAGAATCTTGAGTTTTGAAATTAATTAAAATTTACTACATGATAGTGATTGGGCTATTCAATGTACTAGAAAACGGATTATTTGAAAATCATGAATTAAGATGCTCTAATTATCAGCACGGAGAATTTAACATTATCATCAATTAAGTATAATTTTTACTCGTTAAATCTCCCCTTCAAAGATCCCTTCTCGGGATCCGAGAATGGAAAAATAAAGCCTAAAGGGCATGTTAATCTTTCACATTCGGGTTCAATTTATTTGCTTCAATATAACTGTTATGGTAGTTTTTAAATATGCAAATTTCAAGCTCTCTTATTACTCTAAACATTATCAACCGCATATATAGACGATATCATCAGTGTCACTAAGAGAAATATGACAATAATTGGTGTTCAATATATTACAGGACAAAACACAATGACAAGAAATTTACTGCAGTGATATATACAGGAGTAAAAAAAATGTTCAGTCTCTTAATGGTATATGAGCCTATTCCTTGTATACAACCCTAAACTGAATAGTACTCCGTAATACCCTATTATTGCTGAAAATATGCTGATATGCACTAGCTTGAATCTAACATCATTTCCAAAACTCTCCTTAAAAGACCCATGAAGAATAATTAATCAGCCAAACAAACCTAAAGTCTGAGTGATATTAGCCATGAAACCTTTGAGAACATTAAAGAAACTGATTGAATTGAATGCCAAAAGAGAGATTTGGGTGTTAGTTGAGAAGCAGCAGAGATGGGTAACCTTTCGTTAATAACTAGATGCAGCCAGCTGGGATGTGAGTCCTAGGACTGGGCAACCCCATGTGTGCAATCCTAGGAGAAAGACGGACTTTAGGGCTAGGCCGTGGTGATGGGACCGGACCGCAGTCGATGAAGCCGCAACCTGTAGCCACTCTAGGCGACAGGTTAACCTGTTTGAGCGCCCTGCATTGCAGCTCCGTTGGGTAATCCCTTACGCACCCAATACGTGGTCCATTTCCTGTGGACCACTTGCAGGGCAAATGATGTAGTGAACCCTTTATGTCAGATGTGGTTCTATCGGCATCGGATTGAGCAGCACAAAGATGTCTTGATGAGCGTCCACCTGAAACCTCACCAATCAACTTAAACGAAAATGAGTCTTCGTCAACAGCACATCTCTGTTGAAAGCCAAAATGGAGATGTTATCAGTGGCATTTACACGTTGCTTTCAAAAACATATTAGCAAACTTTAAAAAAACTTTAGTGTGAATCCATCTCACATCGAGTAAATAGAAAAATAAAAAACCAAAATACAAGGTCTTGAGGTTACTTCTACGATACTAATTAGATAAAATCTCATGGTTTAATAAGGGGCAGCTATTCAGGCATTAATATATCCCACATCGAACAAATATAAGAATGCAACCCAGAATACATGGCAATGGGTTGCTTCTAGTTTACTACTTGATCTTTTAGAATGGAACCTCAAGTGTTAATGATGAGCAGCGGAGTGATGAGAGAAATCTGAAAGTCCGGTTCAGAGAGTGTACAGCACAAAGGCAAGGCAGGGTAACATCAGGGTCAAATGTAGCATAGGTGAAATTAGACAGGGTCATATTGGGGAGAGAAAGCATAGGCGGCCAAGGGAAGGCTAGCACCAAGGCAGAGATTTTTATATAGTGAAGGGAGACATAATAAGTACTTGCATAACAGTACAATTTTACAGCTTAAAATGATTTTCGAGTATCTACCTTAACATTCGAGAGATCTACATAGTGCTCCTCTAGGAAACTAATGAATTCTCTGAAGTTCTCTTCTGTTGGAAGATAGTGACCGCTGTATGGCCAAATTGCCTTCAACAAGAAAAACAAAACTTTAGTGCCTATACAAATCTGCAATAATCTTATATTTTTTCAAACTATTCATTTGTACAAACAAAACCTTGAATTACCTCCAAAATGCCACAGTGAGAAACCATCCTTCCAGCAGCTATGATAGCTGCACCAGCTAAAAAACTCGAGTGTTGAAATACGCCTTTCCTCTTTTGCCCAACGTACAATGTTCTTGAGGTGCTAAGGACGAATATCCACTTTGAACCTTCTGTCGTCTCCACAAAGATTCTTTTTTGCTTGTATACAAGCTTCCCATTTTCAATAATAACTTCATAACATTCACGCTCTTTCTGAAATAGTATGACAAAAAATCAAGTGAAAGTTAAATCAGCCACCCACTTCTTCAAGTATATCTTAGACTTTGGTTTTCATTCTAAAAGGTCAAAGTATGAAGCCTCCAAAGCATGACATATTGATATGACTAGATGAGCCATATGATAGCAATTCTTTTAAAAGTATAATCATATAAGTACTTACTGGGCCAAGATATTGAATGCATTGGCGCTGCAGCATAATCCTTGGGCACTTTTCAAGATTTATTTCTTTCCCATCTCCCACATCCAACCTTCATTGGAAACCACTAAAATGAGAGGATGCATGTATTTGATTGTATGCTAACTAATATGAAGACAAGTCGAGACTGAAGCACAATTACTAAAAGGGCTAATTGCATCTATTTCCCTGAGGATTGGTCAAACCACATAAACCTTGAGGGACCCTCAAGGTTTCTCAAAATTACAAATAGATCCCTTGACTACTAGGATTTTCGGTGAACAACCATTTTAACACCAAGATATTATAGAATATGGTGGCATGCATCTTCATATAGAATTTGGTGTTTTTATGCAATTTATCTGCTTAAAATTTTAAATGTTTTTCTAAAATATTTTTTTGGGGACAAGTATTGAAGCTAATAAAGTAAAATGGCTCACTAAACTGTATGCGCTTCTTTGTTATGAAGCAGCACTCAGTTCATGCAATTTTAGACGCGATTTTCACTATGGGTCATTCGGAATAGTCTCTCTGTGCTTTAGTACAGGGGTAAGACTGCGTACATCTGACCCCCCCTTACTCCACTGTAGGTGGGAGACTTTGCGGCACTGGGGTAAATGAAAATGATGATGAAGTATTGAGGCTAATGTTATCATCTTTTGGTGTCCTTTGTGGAAAGCGAAAAACCGGACTAGTCAAGGGGCTTATTCATTTTTTAAAACCTAGGTTCATTGGGTAATGTAACCAAACCCCCGGAGGTAGATGTAATTAACCCTTATTAAAATGGTAAGTTCTAAATTCTTACCTCCTCTCAAGAATATGTGTATCGGAATTAATTAAGGTATACATTTTCAATATATTCCTTTCTTTCCAAAACATTGTTTGTAAAAAAGAAAACGACAAGCAAGAGAATCCAAAATGGAAAGCACACCAGTAGAAGAAAGGTTGAGAGCTTTCACTGTGAAACCACACATCATAGTAGAGGTGCAAATTGTGTCCATACCTATGCCGTGCATCAATCTGAGAATAATAAAACATGTACACGTTTTTCTTTGGTGTGACATAGAATACCAAATTCTATTACAGAAGTGGGTACATACAAAAGGCTCACCGCTTCCAACCAATGCCGTAGGGCTAGCTTTTGAGCCTTATCATCCTTAGACAATCCCTTTCCAACCTTTGCAGCTCTTGTACGTGCTCTAGCCCACCTTGAAATGGCAGTTTCTGGCTTCTCATCATTGAAGAACGAAACGGAGCTCTTGTTCAAAGCTGCAGAGTCTAAGGCCTTCCACCTGAATTAGAAAAAGCAATACAAAACAAAATCACTGATAAACAAGCATATCTAGTACCCCATAATTACTAAACATGGCTTAATCATTAAAAACCATCTTGATGATCAATCCCGCGTAGATGAAATATAAATATAAATGTTTATTACAACTGATAGAATTCAGAATTGGACTAAAACAGCTGAACTGAGATAATAAAACAATTGGGTCGACTACATAAAAAGATTGAATCCATCTATCAGTTAGTTCAACTCTAGGTCTTATCAACCAATCATTCTCCCTTTAGTTTTGCATGTGAGTTTCTAACACTGACATATAAAAATTGGACTACACATCCTGATGAAAGGGTGATGTTTCATATGGAGCTACAAGTCTTAATGAAGATTGAAACCAAACATATACCAAAGCTCTTCGGCCACGACAGCACAGTCTGCAAGGTTTCTTCGAGTCCGATAACTCTTGTATACTTTCTGAAGCTTCACGGCAGCTGCATCAAGCTCACTAATAGGGCGGGGAGAAAATATGACGGAGGGTTCTGGAAGGAAAGTAAGTATTGATTTTGCATTTTCAGCATTTGACCACATTGATCTTTCCACATGTTCAACAAGATCCGTGAAAGAAAGTGTCCTCTCGAGCATTAATTTCGTGGGTTCAAAGTTCCTTAACCGTGCTGAAATTTTCCGGATGGTCTTCTCCGGTCCATTTGAATGGATCATCATCTCTGATTCTACTCCTCTCAATCTGTTAGCTTGAACAGTCATTTCTCACTTTCAGATGCTAAATTATAAAAAAATAAATGAATAAATAAATAAATAAGCAGTACCTCAAATTTGCAATGTGAATCAAAAGTCAATGTTCAGTTCTCTTTTCTGTATTTTTTTTGAACATATAAAAAGTAAGACTTTAGAGTTTAGACTAATCTTCTTGTTAGAGTGGAATCAAAGTATTCATAATCACAACCCAACTTTTCGTAATTAGACTATTCAATCTTCTGTTTCAAACAGTCAGCTGACTACTCGCCTGAATTATCAGAAAGTTATTGCAAAACAAAGAAGCTAGAGCAAAATAAGCTGAAATTGCAGTTATTATGACAGTGACCAACCCCACATTTCATATGAACTACTACTTAAATTCAGCATCCACACCTAAGAATGAACATTGCAAATATTAACTTATCTTGAAAATTTCACAACTACTAAAAAGAAAGGCTGACCTGGTATTGAATAACAGAGCAGTGATGGCTTTTCTTGCTTGCTCAAGAAGAAGACGAAAGAAAAACTTGACTTTCCAACTAACGGACTAGAAAAAGGTATTTTTATGTGTATAATAATAACTATAACAAGTACCCACCCGCTTTAACACAAAAAACTAAAGAATGACAGAAAATCCAGTCTAAGTTGAGTAGTTGACCGAAGCTTTCAACTACGTTTTTGGGACGGGGATGGACGGCTATTTTACCCTTTTGAATGTCCAACCACCCCAAAACATAATGATTTTAATGAAGAGTGGACTCTCTAAATTAAAAAAAAAGCAAGGAAATTTTGAGAGGGAAAAAAAATTAAAATAACTCAAACTTTGAAGGTGTGTGAGATCTCAAACTTTCTTATGTAATTTAAATACCCCAAACTTTATATAAAAAGTTATTTTAACATCATGATCATGTATTATTTATTTCAAAAATGTAAATATATGGTGTTAATTGCATAATTTAAAATAGCAAAATGAAAATGTTGCTATTTTACAATTAATTGTAAATTAATTGTATATTCAATGGAAGTTCAGAATATTAATTGTATCATCATGAATGATACAATATTTTAAATTATGAAATTAACATCAAATATTAACATTTTTGAAAGAAATAATACATAATCATGGTGCTAAAATAACTTTTTATAATAAGTTTGGGGTACTTAAATCACATACGCAACTTTGGGGTGTTTACCTCACACCCCTTCAAAATTTGGGGTATTTTAATTATTTTTCCCAATTTTGATAATGTTTGATACATGCAGGATTGATATTAACAAAATTGAGTTTGCGTAATTTGATTTATAAAATGATTTTACAAAATTCTCATTTACAAGTCCTAAAATATTGTACCCAATAAAGTGAACATTTGCATATATTATTTGCTAAAAATCATTTTGAAATAAATGAGAAATTATCGCTGAAGCTCTCTTTAGAACAAGCTTTGTGCGTGTTTGTCATTAGCGCTTAGGGGATAGCAGATTGTGTTAGCAGGTTGTCAATAGCGGATCAGTCAGCGGGTTTGACTAACAGAATAAGTTGGCGGATTGGCAAAGGATGCTTGATAATTTAAATGTTTGGTCACAAAAATAGTAGAAAGTGTTGTATTTCAAAACGCTAACTCAAAACTCTCATAATTGCAGTGTTCCCATTTTAGCGGTTTCATGCAAAAGTGCTAGTACCGAATAACGTTTTCGCTTATTGAGAACGCTAAAAGTGGTCCGCCATTTTTTTTGTTGCTAAAACGCCGTATGCACTCATCCAGTCAAACTCAAAATTGTAATGATCAGAATTGTATGTCTTGTTTTTAACATACTCCCTCTGGTTGGGTTCTACTCTTTTTTAACTGTTAAGAAATACTATGTAATTCATATCACTTCTCTTCAGGATGGATTAGGGGGGGTGCGGGGCGGTCGCCTCCTTGGACTTTCAGATTTTTCTACTACATATGTAATATTTTCATAAATTTTTTGTATTTTAATTAGATATATAAGTGTTCGCCCAATCGCCCCCTTAACTTTTAGTTTTCAAAATTAATACAGTCATACATTATGTAATACTTAATTGGAAAGTTAAAAGATGAAACGTCTAAAATAATTTACATAACTTAAACAAATAAATAATAGAACAACTCATTGTTTAAGACTTAGGGTACCTATTATATAAAAATCACAGTTTTTAAAATGTTCAATTATCTTTAAATTATTAGATAATTAGTACTCGATTTGTAAAATATCAAACAATATTAAATACGGGACGCACTAGTTAAACAGTTTTTAGATCATGTGAAGTGAATTTAAAATTACACAATTCATTTAATTCTTACTTTTTAAAAATATTTATTGCATAGATAATAAAGTTTAACTTATTTTAGGCATTAATACAAATTTAATATGCACCATATATAAGAATTAGCAATATAATATTATTCTAAAAATAATAATCTCAAACTTAGTATTGTACTCCCTCCCTCCATCCCTTAAAACTTTGTCATCTTTCCTTTTTAGGACGTCCCAAAAAACTTTGCCACTTTCCGTTATAATCAATTATTTTGTGATTTCTGTTATTTTTATCTCCTTTGCACAAACCTCAACCACACAGTTTTTACTTTATTATTCTCCGTGCCGGTCAACTTTGACAAAGTTTTAAGAGACGAAGGTAGTAATATTAGCAAAACTTCTCATGAGTCACGAACACCCTTCTTGGTAAACAAAATTTGCAATTCTTCCTAGTACCGATAAGATTCATGTGATTAAACATGGCAAAAGTTATTTAAAAAGTATTGGTGGTTGTGCACCTTTTAAACTCTTTACTTTCAAATCTATTCTATTTATATATAAGAAAACAAATAGCTCCTTAAATGACAATTTTGACCTTAATGAATCTTATGTGTCACTCTATCCTTAATTCACTCATTTCCTATTAAAATGACATGTGGCCAATTTCTTCCCCTTCAAATTAAATGTACTGAAGCACCCGAGGGAATGAAGGGAGTGGAGATGTAATTAGTAGGGTCAAATTAATAAAATACCCCTATTTTCTTTAAAAAGTTATAACTTTTTTGATCCAATTTTTACAAAAAGTACATCAAAATTCATAATTTTTTGTGATCTTTCATATGAGACCAATATTGAATATATAAAAATTTAAATTATTGAACAACCTCTATTAATATTTTAAAAATTATCTATATTTATATATACCAAAGGAGTACACTATTAAAAATACCATCTTACCCCAATTATTATGCAATGTGACTACCTACCAATGTTAGAGAGCATTGCTCTACTCATGTAGTGCTTTTAAGTACGGAGTATAAGATAAAATAAGATAAGCCAGCTAACAATTGAGCGCCATAATTTTCTCTCTCACATGTAATGCTTTTAAATATAAAATAAAATATGTCGGCTAACAATTCATTTTCATCATTTTCATTTACCCCAGTGCCGCAAAGGCTCCCACCTACAGTGGGATAAAAGCTGACTAACAATTGAGTGAGATAATTTATATCTCATATTTAATGCTTTTAGGTATAAGACTTTAGGTATATAACAAGATCAGATCGTAATTAAGGAGGCTAACAATTGAGCGAGAGAATTTTCTCTATCATATATATATATATATATATATATATATATATATATATATATATATATATATATATATAGTGCTATTAGGTATCAAATAAGCCGTCTAACAATTGAGCGGATGAGCTTTCTCTCTCATATATAGTGTTTTTAGATATTTGAAGATACGCGTGCTAACAATTGAACGGAAGATTTTTTCCTCTTATGTGTCGTTTTTTAAAGTGTGAGATAAGTCAGCTAACAAGTGAGGAGAAGTATTTTCTCTCTCATATGTAGTGCTTTTAGGTATAAGGTAAGACGGCTAACAATTGAGTGAGAGAATTTTCTCTCTAATATGTAGTAGTTTTAGGTATAAGAAGATAAGCTTGATAATAATTTATCGGGAAAATTTGCTCTCTCATATATGTAGTGCTTTTGGATATTAGATAGAAGATAAGCTTGCAATAATTGAGCACAAGGGAATTGGGTGGGAGATTTCCCTCTCTCTCATGTGTAGTGCTATTAGGTATTATATTATACGAAGTACAAGATAAGTTTGCTAACAATTGAGTGGAATAACTCTTTCACGCACATAGGTAGTTGTATAAGTATAAGATAAACCAACAACAATTGAAGGAGGTAATTTTTTCTTTTATTTGTATTGCTTTAGGTATAACAAGATAAGTTTACTAATAATTGAGCGGGAAAATTTATCTCTCACATATGTAGTGCTTTTACGTATAATAACATAAGCCGGCTAACAGTTGAATGAGAGAATTTTCTCTCTCATATGTAGTGCTTCTAGATATAATGAGATAATTTTGCTAATAATTAAGCGGGAAGGTTTTCTCTATCATATGTAGTCTCTTATGTATTAGAAGATAAACTTGCTGACAATTGAGAGGAGAGATTTATCTCTCTTACGTAATGTTTGTAGATATAAGATAAGACGGCTAACAATTAAACCATAGAGTTTTAACTCTCATACGTAATGTTTGTATATGTAATTCTTTTTTGTATATGACTAGCTAACAATTGAGCGGGAATTTTTTTCTCCCATATGTAGTGCTTTTACGATAATAACATAAGTCAGCTAACAATTGAACGAGAGAATTTTCTCTCTCATATGTAGTGTTTCTAGATATAACAAGAATAGTTTGCTAATAATTAAGCGGGAGGTTTTCTCTGTCATATGTAGTCTCTTATGTATTAGAAGATAAACTTGCTAACAATTGAGAGGAGAAATTATCATGTAAGTAGTCGTTTTAAGTATAATATAAGCCGGCTAACAATTAAGCAGTAGAGTTTTGTCTCTCATACGTAGTGCTTTTAGATATAAGTTAATCCGGCTAACAATTGAGTGAAAAAATTCTCTCATATGTAGCTCTTTTTTGTATAAGACTAGCTAACAATTGAGCGGGAAATTTCTCTCTCTCATATGTAGTGCTTTTAGATACAACATAACCTCACTAACATTTGAACAAGAGAATATTCTTTGTCATATTTAGTGTTTTTTAAATATAACAAGATAAGTTTGCTAATAATTGAGTTGAAATTTTCTCTCTCTCATATGTAGTCTTTTATATATTAGAAGATAAACTTGATAACAATTTAGCAGAGAAATTATCATATAAGTAGTTCTTTTAAGTACTACCTCCGTCCCGTTGGAAGGTTCCCATAGTAAAACGCCACGATTATTTAGACAATAATTAAATAAAGTACTTCGAGTATATTTTGAGAAATAATTTTAATAGGTATATATTATAATGTAGTTGATATTGATAATTGTGATGTTTTAAATGTATTGTTTTTAATATTTAATGATTAATTTGTCACTTAAGATTGTTAATTGTTTTCTAAAATGGAAATAAGAACCTTTATATGGAATGTCCAAAATGGGAAATGGGAACCTTCTAATGGGACGGAGTATAAGTTAAGCCTACTAACAATTAAACAATAAAGTTTTGCCTCTCATACGTAGTGCATTTAGGTATAAGTTAATCCGGCTAACGATAGAATTGAAAATTTTCTCTTATATGTAGTTTTTTTGTATAAGACACGTTGAGTAAGAATTGAAATGATAATTTCAATTCTTTTCTCATATGCTAACACTAATTTAACTAATGAGTAGCAAGTTATTATTTAACTAATACGTACTATTAATTAATTTCAATCATTATTGTATTCACTTTTTTACAATAGTATTAAATTTTAAAATTAATAAATCATAAAAATTAATAAGTCCAAATTCTAATGAGTGGTGTTAATTAATTTTTCCTATATACTCTTCATAGAACATTTAGTGTATGGGCTTATACTTTATGATATTAGATTATTGTATTCTTATTTTTCGAAAATGTAAAATCCTACAAAGTTATTTTTATTTTAATATTTAATTATATAAGAAGTAAAAATATATGCACCTACTGCTTTTTCCCGTGCGTATGCACGGGTACTATACTAGTAATTTCATACAATGCTATATATCCTCTTTTATTTCAAATAATTTTTCTTTGATTTGCTATTTCTTACGCTTTAATGTATCAATATTTTTTTCTAAAGCACTTGCAATTATAAAATCAAAGTTATTTTTCCATTGTTTTAACTTAGAATGGAATATATTTAAATGTCATCATGTATGTACCTATGAATTCTTTTTGAATAAAAATTAGCCGCAAAACCCTACACTATTGGAAAAAATCACCTTGCTACACTAGCGAAAAAAGTTTCGCTCCACTACACTAGCGAAAAAAATCACCCATTACACTAACGGAAAAAATTTCGCCCCCCTTGTATGGTTGGACTCGGGTCAGGCCACCCAGCCCGTGGACCGACCCAGCCCGCTACTGTGCGGGACTGGACCGGCCCGGTTCTCAGGTCAGGCCTAGGCCCGAGGGGTAGGGCAGGTCCGAGCTTGGGTCTCAAATTTGGTGAACCGGTCCAAATTGAATTTTTTTTATTTTTTTTTCATTTTTGGGGTTCCACCCGGGTTGGGCTTGATGGGTAGGATGGGTTTGGGGGGGTTGGGAGGGTGAGGGGTGAGGGGGGGGGGGGGGGTTAGGAAAGCAAAAAAAAAACAAACAGGAGGCCCGGCCCGGGCCGGTCCCGGATCCACCATTCCTGAACCGTCGGCCCGCCCGGACCCGTGTCCACCCCTACCCCTTGACTCGAAATCCTGGATCCGTCCCTGCTTCTCTTTCCCCGATATAAATCTAAAATCGCAACCATGAAACTCCACAGCCATTAATAAGCCAAACCAAAGCGAGAATCTTATAATAGGCTGGAGCCACGGAAGGATTATATATATAGACACTTTACAAGAAAGATACAATAGCCTTATGGACATGGTGAATATGTAGTATCACAGAAAGCTACTAGTTGCAAGTAGAGTCCAATGCTTGTTTCTACATTCTACCAATTCAATGACGACCCTCTCTAGCTGTAGTATCTTTGGAGGAACCAGCAGCATCCATGTTCACTTCCTCATCTTCACTTCTTTCTTCGTTACCTTCATACTCGTCAAACGTCTCTGTAGTGTCACTCGTCCTTTCTTCTTCATCATCTTCCTCTTGTGCTCCCTTACCGGATGTTTTGTTTTGAAGTCTATCACGAAGCTCTCTCAGTTTTTCTTTCTTTGAATTCAATACTCCAACAAACTGGGAACAAAGGGAAAGGAGAATGCACTCATTCACTACCAAACAAAGTATTGTTTAATGTTGAATGAACCTATGGTTGGGGTATATGCTTGTGGAATGAAATATATATAGTGACAATGTCTAAAATTACTTTACTATAAATTCATGGGTAAAAATAGTGGCCAAATTTTATGTGTGATGCCGTTAATGTGGCAACCCCTTCTAAAACAAAAATAATGAGATGAAATTCTAGAACCATCATCATGATAGGCTGGTTTGAGAGACAGTCGGCGCTAAGCAGGAGAAAGATTAGGGTAGCACCTAGCAGGCCTAATCCTACAGAAGAGAGGAGGGTGGGTAATAGCCCTGAGCATCTTAATATTATGCACCCGTTTTTTTAGGTCCAATAAGTATGTGTTTGTTTTTATAAAAAAAACTGTTGATCGGTTGAAGTAGGAGGCCATGAACTGATCTTTATTGGCCAAGAAATGTCTGCTTATTTTCCAAATTCAATGTAAAAAACCAAATGAATATGTTTGTTTGAGGCCTTTTTATCTTTTGGATCCTAAGAAGGCTTGGGCTTGGTATCTAGGCGGGACTCGAGTGGGATTTGGCTGTGCCAATTCGGCATAGGATTAAGAAACCGAAGATGAATTTCTTTTGGGCGGGGCAGGCTTAAGAAGCTGGGAACTGGTCTATAAAAGACAATACATGTCGTAAACTGAAAAACCAATCAAGTACGGTTGTGCACATAGTCACAAACCTTTGCATATAAAGCATTTTCAAATTCTTCCTTCTCTTTGACAAGCCTCTCACTTTGAGCTAAGCATTTTTCAGCTTCAGATTGTAGCCTCTCGAATGCCTGTGTTTTGTCGAGAACTTCCTCCTATATAGATCATAACAAGAACCTATGAAATACACATTTTCTCCCATTTGAACTATAGGCAAAAAACAACCACAACAACATGATGTACCATTTCTTCAAATGTGTGTAATAACTAATTTCATTTGGCAATTGTTGCCAGAGCAAAGAAAATCTAATACGATTCCGATTATTTCCCACCATTTACCCAACATAAGGACCACAAGCTTTAGGTAATTTATCATTTGTCCAACCTTGGAACAATGCAAACAATACTAGGTAGTTTATATTTTTTAAATTTTAGCACGTATTTGGATCCAAAAACCGGAGTGCATCAGGATTTCGATGTGATCGAGCTATGCCGACTAGATTAAAAGGTAAGTTTTATCGCACATCAATTACGCTTGCATTATTGTATGACGTAGAATGTTGGGCGGTGAAACGATGTCACATTCAAAAGACGAGTGTGATTAGAATGCACATGTTGCATTAGATGTATGGACATACATCCTCCGTCCCATTGGACTTTGTCAACTTTCCCTTTTTGTTTGTCCCAAACAACTTTGTCACTTTCATATTAAAGCAATTGATTTGTGGTTCTTTACATTTCTCTCTTCTCTGCACAAATCTCAACCACACAGTTTTTACTATTCTTATTTCTCAGCTACTTTGCATTTGGCAAAGTCCACCGGGACGGAGGTAGTATTAGAAAAGATTGCTCGAGGAATGAGACTCCAAACAAAAAACCAAGTAATGCACATGTTAGACGAGTTGAGGGAGGTGAAAACCCCAAACAAACATGGATTAGAGGAGTTGAGAGTGATATACTTCTTCTTGGTTAGATGAGTCTATGACCTTTGAGAAAGCAAAGTGGAGAGAGAATATATGTGTGGAGGATTGATCTCTTTTCATCTGTTTTATCTTTTTTATGTTTTTATCTTTTTTATATTTCTAATGTTCCTTATCTTTTATGTTTTATCCCTTTTTATCTTATCATTTTTATTTTTATCTTATCTTTATCTCTATTTTATCTTTTTTATCGTATGATTACAATATCTTTCTTATCTTTTTCTTTTTAACTTTTTGCTCTGATTTCTCACGTCAATTCATGTTATCGGACCCCAAATTCTTTTGAGATTAATGCTTGAATGTTGTTGTTAAATTTGGATCCAAAAACGATTAAGGAAAGAAAACGCAAATGCCAAGGATAGCTGTTACTTATCTTTGGTTTTACCTCAAGTTATAAAAGGAGAATGAGATATGGTTAATACTTCAAAAAAATGTCATCCATATATATATATTTATCTTACATTACATAAATAAAATGAGATTGAACAAGTGTTATAAATAAATTTATTTCATTTCAACCAATGTTTTGTTTTTCCCACACAAACAAAAGTAAAGTGGTGTTTGGTCTTACACTCAGTTGTATGTTGGAATCCATGAGAAAGTCCAAGATGTCAGCTGTAGTGTTCTTGTTGTTGGATGATGGTTGGCATTTCCACCGCCACTCCAGCTTTGTTCCTGCTTTCTCAAATGTCCATGAAAGCTAAAACGTATCAAGAACAAAGAAATACGCTGATCAGCTTATATGTTAATAAAACAAATCACAATAGTTATGTCTTTCTCTTAACAAAGGCATACATTCTTTGAATTATCATATCTTGAACAACTAGGGTCCGTTTCACAAAGGCTATTTGGCTCTAATAAATAGTGAATAATCTAAAAGAAAAAGCATTCAGTAACATTCATTTTAGCCAAATACGTTAGTAAAAAGAAACCAAACAGGATATGCTGATAATGACTGCCAAAGGGAGCCCTAAACAAGAAACTATCAAAAGACTTTCCTGTGACACATTAATGCATTAGTTTCAAAAGCTTTTTCAACCTCAAGTGCAACAGCTTACCAAGTTGTCATGCTAAAAAATGTCTAGCATAAAACGAAATTGTAACTTCCATTTCTAATGTAGAAAACATGTTGAAAAGGTACTCAATTTTGTTTCCTGAAATTTCTATTATCTATATTTCACGCAAAATCCAAGCTTTGGACAAAAAACAAGTCAAACACATTACAGCAACGCTTTTCATAAAGATCACTGAATACTCATCCAATCTTAATCTTCACTTAAAATTGGCAAAGTAGCCCAGGATCAGAAAAATTGAACCCATTTCCACATATGGTACCACTGTAAGCGATGTACACTTTACCCCAGGGATCTCTGTAACACATAATATGAATTTACAGAAGATAAAAAATAATTTGCAATAATGCAATTGATCTCTAACAAAGTGAAAAGCACTGGCAGAACAAACAAATTCAGAGCACTATTTCGAAAAAACGTACTCTTCTGTGGCCAGAACCGGCATCAGAGAACCCATAAACCGAACCGGGTTGTTGAAACCCTAAGTACTTCTCCGCCATTTGGATGTACTCCGGAACCGGCTGGTCCCACTGAGACGCTCTCTCTTGAACCTCCTCCTCCGAAGCTTCAAAACCAAGCATTTACCGGAACTGTAAAATGCAACTCAAATGGAATATTTTTGAAGCTGAAACGAATAAAACATTGCAGCAAAGTACCACTGCAAATCCAAGCCTCGAGACCATTGCTGATGGAGAGGTCGAAGCGAGAAGTGAACCAGGTGCCTTTGACGAAGATGCGTTCGAAATGTCCGGGCTCCTGCTCGCTGCTCCCCGGAATTTCCAGCTTCAAGCAAGTGTGCCGGTGACTCTCCAATTCCATGGGGTGCCTAGCGTGGAAGCGAAAGGCCGCTAATTTTTTACAGAATTACAGTTTTCACACTTCTTCAATTCTACTTTGAAATTTTTCCATTTGAAACAAACATTCAGTCAGTCATTCACTATGCGATTACACTTCATATTTTAGGAAAAATAATAGAAGAAATTGCACTTATGATCCTTCGAGTTTTGCACCAATTCCATAATTAGTCTTCATCTTTTATTTTATCCATTTTTGGTACCTGACTATTGTTTTCTTGACTATTTATAGTCCTTTTTCGATAGTAAAAATGCTCAGAAATGGACCACAAATGGTCAAGAAAACAATAATCAAGTACCAAAAATGGATAAAGTGAAAGATGATGACTAAATATGGAAATGACACAAAACTCGGAGGACCTAAAGTGAAATCATATCAAAAATAATTAGAAAGAGGACCCAATTCAAACCTCTTACGCTCCAAATTAATGTTAAAGTTTTTTTAAACTTGCTTTGGTTTGATTTTGTGTTTTCCATTAAAGACAACTAGTATAGTATGAAGATAAATTGCATACATGAGAATAGTATTCAAAGATAAATTGTAATTTATAAGTGTTGGTGTTATATATTGTAAGAATTAGAGAATGTGAAACACTTCTTTTAAAACGACATTCATGGTGTTATCACTTCGACGATTGTCTTTGTTTTGAATGAAGATTTTGTGGCTTGCACAGTTTGTAACGCTTGAAAGGGAACATACAACCTTCCATGACTAAAAACATGTTTTCTTAATAAGAGACTGACGTGATAGAGTGATTGACATTGACTTTTATTGAACGTCACTGCATAAGAAGTCATTGTAAGGATATATCTCCTTTGAAATTTAAATGGAAGTCTAACTTTAGACGGTGTTAAGGATAGTCAATGCACTAAAATTTCTTGACCCGCGCTCATACCCTTAAGGACTTTATCCTCTAAGATGTGATCACACATCCTAATTATCATGAGTCTCTTCCCTTTATACAAACCTAATGAATGATCGATATTACACAAAGCATAACTCGAGTACCAACTTTTAATGTTAACTCATGATATGACACACATAACAACTTAAGACTATTTAAAAAGTATATTGTAACCAACTATGCTATTAGATCATTTGTTAAATCAGATTTACACACACTATTTGATGTATAGTACTTTCACACAACTTCTCTAGAACTCAAACTTGTCATACACCCGTTGATAGAATATGCAACACTGTATGTTGGAGCAAGAATACCTCTACCTCTCGAGAAACTAAAACTTGACTTAATTGGAGAATTTCAAGATAAATGGTCTCTCAACTAATTCCTCGATAAGAATGATTCAAATATATATATGTGTGTGTGTATTCATTGAGACACAACTGTCATGTAATCTTAAACTATATAATGGCCTATGCTTACATTGTGTTTACTTGAACCATTGCCAACTCTAGAACTTGAAAGTGATCCTTTCAATAACCATTTTAACAAAATACAAACAATAAACGACATTGTAAGTCAAAACATGTTGGATTCAACTGCAGTTTTCCACATTGAATCCCCGCCGATATATATTCATTCCATAGACTTATCAAAATCACGTACAACCAAAGTTGGAACCTCGGACACAAACGGTAGGGAGGTTGTATGCTCTTGCGTAAGTGCTTAGCATTAACTTTACATTGTAACTTTTATCATAATGGATATTTTCTTTTGTTGTTCTAAATTACTTGACCAAAACATTATGCTCATTTAACTTAGGTTCTTAAATCCTCAACTCTCTCAAAATGTAATTGGAAAAACTTCCAGTTTTTTTTTAATCATACATAAAATGCCTCAAAAGGGAACCTACCTGATATATTTGATTATATTAGTAGCCTCATTTTAAATATCAACAAACTTCCAATAAGTCATGTAACTTCCAATAGAATTAGAACCCGTTTGGTAACATTGAAATTGGCTGAATTGGCTGATTTTGCTGATATTTATGAAGTTTTGTCTGAAATGACTGGATTGGCTGATTTATGAAAAAATTATATTTAAAATATTTTTAATTAATAAACTAAAGAAAAATACATGAAAACATACCTAAAATGATCCTCTACTATAGCTTCAGCCAATACAGTCTGAAACGTAACTCCAACCTTGCATTTTCTTATTATTACACAATTCAGCGCGTAAACTCATAAGTTACGTGTTTGGTGAAAAAGTTAACTGATAAGCTTGATAAGATGAAAAACAGGGCCGCCAAACGCGGTTTTGATATTCTTGTCCTATTACTTTCGACTGTTATCATTATCAGTCTTGTAACTTTACTCGTTTGCAAATTTGATCATGTAACTAATAGATCTTTGATATTTAAGGACTTTTCCACCAGAAAGTGTACTTTCCATCAAAATATATGATGCCGATGACATCTTTCCTTGTACTACGTATATTTTTGCCGCAAAGTGCACTTCTAGGGGCGAAGGTCTTGACGAGCACTTTGTCACGGTGCGTCAAAATAAATTCAATACTAAACACTTATACGTAGTATAATGTAGTAGAGTTCGTATCCACAGGGAAAGGAATAATTCTCTTTTTATGATACTTAGTAAATAAAAGGGGGGATTTAGATTGAGTGATTTAATTTAATTAAGAACTAAGATGAACAACCTATATGTGTTTAATTCAAAGATAAAAAGGACTTGACATTGCTACTTTCCACTTGTTGATATATTTTAGTCGATCATTGTTATATCTATAACTTATTCCCTCTCGAATACTCAATCGGGGTGTATATCCACTTCATCGAGGGTAGTTATTAACAACGACCGTTCATTAATAACCCTTACTATTAATCAAATATAGAACAACGCCGTATACCGATTTAATAGTAGCATTTAATCTTTCTAACTCCTTGATGAAATCAATTGAGATTGATAACCTCAACACAAGCGGTTTCGGTTTAACCAACAAAATTAATCCCTCTTAAGTTTATTAACCACGACCGTGCATTAATAAACCGAAGTTACTTACTTGTGAAACCATCAACGAATAACCATCGGTTCGTTGATCGTTTCTAGTAATAATTAATATATGAAACAAAACTAGTTGATCCTTTAAGTAATGTTCAAAATATTAATATGAAATAAGAGTAGGAATTAATTAATATTCAAGGAAGAATATTATTAAAGAAGATGAATCCTACTATAATTAATATCAAGATGTTAACTAATTGTCATCTTAGCAACACTCCCCAATATTAATATAGAGGAATAAAATACCATTTTAATTAATGTCGAGATGTTAACTAATTGTCATCTTAGCAACACTCCCCAACATTAATATAGAGATGGTATTAAGGAAAGAACTATTAATTAATATTCAAGGAAAGAAGTTAAAAAAATAACTCACAACTTTAATAATCAACAAGCTTCAAGAGCAACACCAAGAATGGAAGTTTAGCTCCTCATTTGGAGACTAAACATAGCTAGAAAAATATAAAGTAATGCTATTTTAAACTGAGCTAAAGAGTATGGAAGAAGGGATGATTTTTAGAGGAGAAAAAGAGTGCTATTTATAGGTGTTTTTCAACACCTTTGGCCGGGTATCCGACCGGGTATAGGTACATACCCGACCGGGTCCGGTCAAAATCAGATATTTTCCCACGTTCTGGTGATCTTCGGCATGTTAAAGTGTCCGGGTCAAGTCAGACCCGACCGGGTGGGGTAGGGGACCCGACCGGGTGAGTGCAAAAATTGGAACGTTCGGGTGATCTTTGCACACCGGGTTGTCCCCGGTCACTTCTCACCCGACCGGGTGAGGTAGTGGGCCCGACCGGGCCATGCACTTTCTTTGCATTTTCGTTTTTCACTTCTTACCCGACCGGGTCAAGTGTTATACCCGGTCGGGTATTTGCTCCTGGGCAGCCAAATCTTCTTTTTCTTCACTTCAAAGTCTTCCTTTCCAACACCACAAATCCTAACTAAACTTTACAACTTACAAATAAAGACTAAAATACAATTACAACTGAAATCACATAAATGTTTACAAACTAAATAAAACGTCAAACAATTAACATAAATCAAACATAAAAACATGTAATTATGCACTACTAATTAGTGTGCATCAAACACCCCCACACTTAAACCTTTACTCGTCTCGAGTAAATCAAATCCGATCCAAGAAGTCCTTAAAATGACAAGAATATCAACACACACATCCACGAGTGTTTTTAGAAACACATAAAGTAAATCCCCAAAAATATAATAGTAAAGAGGGTCTTCAACTCCATATTTCTTTATCAACCTCAACCTTTTTTTTTGTTACCCTTAGGATCCTGTAGAAATAAAAGAAAATACTTTCTCTCGTTCTCTCATTTTTCCTAGGTGCCCTTTCGGGTTTTCATCCCAGCTTCCCACATTTTTCTGTTTTAATCCTCACAACTCACTCTTATTTTTGCTTTATTTTTGCTTAAGTTGCCCTTTCAGGTTTTCAACTTAACAAGCTTTTATAATTTTTTTTTACAAGAATAAAGAGTATGAATGTGAGTATTCCATAAAACTCTCCCCCAAGCTAATCAAAGCATTGTCCCTAGTGCTTGTGCCTAAGATGAGTGTTTTTTGGATACTTTTTGGGAGGTTTTGTTGGTGATTCGTGGGTGTGGAGATGAAAAGGGTGAAGAGGTGATGAATGAAATGGGTTTAATTGGTGGATGGATGTAGAAGATATGAAGCTTTTGACTTTTGGAAATGGAGGGAATTTGGGGTGTGATTCGAAAGGGAAGGCAAAGGGGGGTGATTCATTTTTTTTAGAGAAATGGCCTGGTTTCCAAAAATCGAGATACCCGGCCGGGTGGGGTAGTGTACCCGGTCGGGCGTAAACTGTTCACCCGAGGCAAAAGGTTTTTGCTGGCTTGCCCGGCCGGGTATGGAAGTCTACCCGGTCGGGCGAAAAATTTATTCTTGTTTTGCTCATTCCTCGCCCGGGTGATTGCCCGGGTGTTTTGTTTTTAGAAGTAACCCGACCGGGTTAGGGTTTATACCCGGCCGGGTCCAATCCCAGTCCATTTTTTTTAAATGTGTAAAAATAAACTAAAACAAGTAAACGTACCTTGCTTGGGTTGCCTCCCAAGAAGCACCT